GACAATGAAATTAGAGTCTGATTCAGGATTCCGCTTCTTGGATGTTTTGGTAAAAAAGAAACCTGACGGTTCTCTACAAAGATCGTGATATGGAAAGCCAAGATGGAATGGTCAGTACACGAATTTTTAAAGTAGGGTCCGACTGATATAAAAGAGAAACCTGACCCGTTCTCTCTGTTCGAGGATTAGATGTATCTGCACCGAATATTCAATCAACATCAGATTTGACAAACTGGCAGATACTGAGCAAGAACGGATATCCACCTAGATTCACTGAGAAAAATTTAAAGCCAAAGAAACGGCATGTAACAGTTTCCATAGCACAAAAGAAGCCTCTCTGCATGAACATTCAGTTTAAGAGAGAAACTGCGGAAGAAATTCTGAAAAACAAATTTCCAAGATCTCAGAAAAACTTTCTATTCGACTGGACTTCGCATTTTCTAATAGGTCAGTGGTTCAAAGTTGTGAGAAGAGCAAGCTCTCGCTTTGTGCCAAATCAATGTGTATCTATCAGTTTACTCAGTCACGTAGAGCAGGTTATATTAACCACACAAAGCGAGCTCTTCCGAAACACATCTCCGAACCTTGCTCTCTCTGGCTCTCCAAAGATAGCGGAAACTAGTCAAAAGCTCAATCTTGGAGCATCTAGTCAATTCCGGCCATTCTGCTTCACCAGAAGCCTCCTTTTAAATCATCAATACGGTCAGAATAGTCGGTTCACAGGGAATGGAAATGAAAAACTTATGTATGACAGAGGTTCTTGATATCCATTAGTTTACTCCTAACCTTTGCGTACAACAACAGTGTGTTCAGTCCCTCACTCTTCCAATGTCTTGACCTTAGTCCTATCTTCCATTATCTATCTTTCTCTTCTTTATTATATTATTTCTACTCCTTTCAAACTATTTTCATAACTATTATTTGTCAATTATTACAATTAATTATTCTGTTGTTAATGGCTATCAAGTGGACAATTATTTTCAGTTTATCACTTTATCATTAGCTGATCAATACATAACTTCCTTTCAGTATCTGATTTTCAAGTCTTGACAACATAGCGCTTCAAATTTTTTAAAAATAATTAACACCTTTTCATTTTACTTTACAATACTGTTTTAGCAAATAAAATTAACCATAAATACGATCATACATCTTAAGTAAATGAAATCGTCGAAAAGAAAGTTTCTTTGTCAAAAACAAATGAAATGGGAATTATTAAATCATGTCTCTAACATAATCACTCAGAATGATTACTTCGTAATAATGTTTAACTCAAGTAGTTATGTAAAAATTAGGGATTCATCAGTCAAATAGTAAATTTACTTGACTTCATACATCGTTGGGGGAGAGGAGAAGATTGTGAAATACTCCCTTCTATAATAAGTTCAATTCTAGTTATTAAGATAATGATAATTAACTTTGAGATGGTAGGGAAGATTTGTAGCTCAGGTGGATGATTTTGATGCAGTTTTGTTCTCTGAACTGGATGGTTTGGTCGTGGAGCTTTCGTCGTTCTTCCGAATGACATCATCAGCACAAACTTCATATTAACATATAAACTGAAACATGATTTCACCAGTTTAAGAATTATCTGTATTGTATGAAATATCATTTGATACCTTATTGACTATTCTATATATTATATGAAAATATCCTAGTTTTGAGATAATTATATGCTTATCATCTGTTCATTTAATAATAAATGTAGAAAAAAACATGTGAAATTGTCTATAATAAGTTTTATTCGTTGATTAAAGTATTGTGAGAATCTGTATATCGAGTATCATATAGTTAGGATATATTGAACACTTTGAAGTTAACTAGTTAAAAAAATTGTTATACAACTATCAACTACAGGTGAGACTATAATTTATGGACGACCGTTGAGCGACGCCAAAGTGACCTTGAGGATGTCCACTTACTAACTAAGACTAAATAAGGTTAGAAATCAGTGTGAGGAATTCGAATTATGATTTACAGTTGACGGTTAAGGTTAAGGATTTGTTTAGGGTTTTCATCGCGAACTGACATCAGCTATAATGCCGAAATGGTATTTGGCCAGATGGACGAATGAATTTCGTACCAAAATCTAAACCTCGTTATCTTACATCCGATTGGTTACTCCATAAATTATAGTCTCACCTAACTTTTATAAACTGTTTTAATGATTTAAAGAAAATTCATTTAGTTAAAAGTCATAGACCGGATAATAATTTATGTTTCATACATGTATATTCACTCTGAATGGATGAAGTAGGATAAACTAGGTTGTTCAGATTATGTTAAAATCTGACTAACAGTATATCAAGGGTATTATCATTTATTTATTTATTATTCTATTTACATAACTGGAACTGGTTTTCATCTACTCTGGTTGTATTTCAACCAATTATCTTGCTTTGATTAATAAGTGAAGAATAATCAATACCAGTGTTGATCTAATTCTGTCTAAAAAGTTACAGTGTGGCGACTAATCAAAATATCCAAACATAATGCGCACCACTTTATGGTTTTAAATGGTCTCAGATAGTTTATAGGGGAACCATGACTTGCTGGTTGGGACTCATCAGCATGGGGTAATTTCAAAGGTAAAGGAACTGATATTACTGATTAGAACCAAACTCATGTGACTCAATTTCACAGTTGAAAGAGTTACCTATGAATGTCAGTAGAGCTATTCCGTGCTGTCTGATTTTTGTTAATAATCGAAGAGAGGTCGATGCATGCTAAAACAATTTTCAGTTCAATGATTTAAAAATTGTTCACGAACAGTGTCCTGAGAATGTTTACAACTTTATACTACTTATTAGTAGTTAATCGTTTCAACATTGAAATAAGGGTAATAATGTTGTGAAATCGAATATGATAAGGATAGTTGCCACTTGACGAATATGAGAATGGGGAAGTACAAATTAAGAACATAAAGATGATAATAACTAATAACTAAAATCAAAATTAATGGGATTAAAAACAGGAGAATATAATAAAATCAAATGACCATTTCTGAAAATTAATTGTTAGTGTTATGGAAGAATAATAGCCTGTGTGTATTTCTTGCACAGAGTTCATGTTTTAAATGATCGATTGCTATCTCCTCTACACTGCATGATTCATTAAATTGTGCCCTTTTCGAAACCAATTGTCTGACTGTGTAGATTATTTTAAAAGATTTGTGAGATGGTTCCATGTGACCCGAGTTCACAAGATGTTTTAATATTGAACTGTTGATTGATTTATTTTCGCCTTTCGAAAGCCATGAGGGATAATATTCGGAGATGTGCCTGTAAAGCACTTGATTTATATGTCCTGTGTAACCTGCTCCACATGAGCAAGTGAATTTATAAACGCTTATTAAACTGACCTAAATCGTGCTCTACCCTTGACACACTCATGAATGATGAAAGGGCTAGAAAGGATGGTACAAAGCCTAGTGGCATAAAAAGGTTTTCTCAAGGACTTCGTTAGACGATCATTCAAAATTTCTACAGTAAATCCTCCTTTGAGCTCAATGTTTAGTTTTCCTAGAATCTGTATGAATCCTCCTAGATTGTTATTTCGTTTTCATGTTACGTTTAATAAACCTGGTTGGATCATAGTTTTTGAGGAATATTTGTTGGAAGTTGAGTAGTTCCTCGTTTGTTTTATCCTCCGAACATGTTCATCTATACCCTTATGATAAGGATTGAATTAACTTTGTCTTTCTTCCTAATGTGACTCAGCTGTGAAAATTCGTGTATCATCCTTTCTAAGTTGGTTGTCGGTATAAACAATCTTTCAATGTGCCATCTTGTCTTCTATTTAAAAAGACATCGAGGAAATGAAACTTTGAGTTTGATTTTGATTCCAATGTGAATCAGATGGATTAATGACAACCATTGAACGGATCCAGGATGATATTGAGGTCACTGTTTTCATTAGATATAATAAAGTATTTTATCCAATTGTTTGATTATATTTTCCTTGAAAAAGCTTGGACCAGATTGCCAGGCGAAACGTTGGATTACTTAAAATTCATTCGCTGAGATTTTACAAATATATTCTTCCTTTTTAATGTCAAGAAGGGAATTGTTATAATTTTTTATAAGTTTTGTTTTACTCTTGACCTCAGAATACAATAGTTTTCGTTTAATTTGTACCTCTTATACGTCATTCACATATTCTTAGTAGATAAAATTTACCAAGACGTTTTAAGAATGATTATTTACGTATTTTCACATTTCAAAAACTGACAGGATATTGAGCTAGGTTTTTCACTTCATAAGTGAAGGTAAAGTTAGTATCATACTGAATAACGAAAAGTATGCTGTCAGTTTTGGTGTTTTGGAGACTGTTAAGTTTTGATTGAAATCATGAATCAATTGAAGCTAGACCACCATGGGAAACCTGGGAGCACTGGATGGCCGTTTCGTCCTAGCTTGGGACTCCTCAGCAGTGCGCACTCACGATCCCGCACCCGGCGAGACTCTAACTCAAGAACTATCAGTCTCGCGCCAAGCGCTTAACCAACTAGACCACTGAGCCGGCATCCAATGGTGTTAGTGTTAGACATTTACACCATTGGATGCCGGCTCGCGGGGTGCGGGATCGTGGATGCGCACTGCTGAGGAGTCCCATACTAGACGAAACGGCCGTCTAGTGCTTCCAGGTTTTCCATGGTGGTCTAGCCTCAATTGACTCATAATTTCAATCAAAAAGTATACTAGTTAAAGTTGTGTTTTTTTGCTACATAAACCTAATTAACAAAATGATGAATGTATAGAACTCCATACTTTCTTATTTAACTCATGAACAGGAGATTCAGTGTGATTTAGGTGTTCTTTATGTTATATTCAAAAATTCTTTTTGAATATTTGGTTCAATTTAACAACTAAATACTTATGGTATATCTATATTCTCAACAGGAACATATTTTGAGAACTGTCACTAGTAAAATTCTTTCCACAGTTTATATATATATTTGTTTCTAAACAAATAAATACTCATAATCTTAATGATTTCAGTTGCATGTTACCAGGACTCAATTATAAAGAAGTTACATTATACATAATGGATATTTGTACTGCTAGTCAATCACAATGTAGAACTCGACAATGTATTCAAACCTCTTCAATATGTGATGGTAAAGCTGACTGTCTTGATAAGTCAGATGAGGGTAGCAGTTTTTGCAGTGAGTACTCATTTATTTTTTTATATATATCTATTTATCCGTCAAATGTGTTACATTTCTGTTTTACAGATAATGATAGTTTATTTAAAGTTTATGATTATGTAATTAGTTTTAAATTTCATTTAGCCAAGTAATTTATAAACTTGATCATTCATAATAAGAATAATTAGCTTTCATCATGTATATAATCTTTGCAAACTCTTCTAACTTGTCTCTACTTTTTATACATATTTATCTTATATTTTAATTGTAATTCAGAATTTCATGTTTCTTTGTAGATGCTGGACTTACTGTGATTCCAACTCGTATTGTAGTTAAACCATCAGAACCTTTTTCACTTAAATGTCAAACTATTTTACCAGGGACCAGAATGCCACATGCACGTTTTGTACATAGTGGTCAAGATGTAGAGTCCGATCCTCGATTTATCATTGAGAGATCTCCAGGTATTCTGCTTATTAAGGCACCATATGGACTTTCAGTAGAAGCCAATGATACAAGAATTGAGTAAGTTGATTAATTTATTCCATAAATTCTTAGTAATAATAGAAAAATAGTTTTTTCTATTGTTGTATTTGGTTGACTGACTACCATAGTTTACGTCTTTCATTGTTTTATCTTACAGATGTTACTTTCCCGATGAAAGCCCTAGAACTGCAATAATCAATGTAGTTACTGATCGATGTGGATTAGGATACTTCATGTGTTATGACGGAAATTGTATACAACAATCTCAGAGATGTGACGGGCAAACTCAATGTCCCGATGGATCTGATGAAATTAATTGTGGTTAGTTCAATGTGCATTTGACAGCTGATTATCAAAAATGCTTTTTTGGTAGCTGCGTACATTCTGGAAAATTTCCTCAGTAACTTTCATTTTTTCTTTAGTGGCACAGTCTAGTTTCGATAATGCAATGAGAAGACGAATTTTATCTGAATTATGTGATATATTTGCGCAATACATTTCGAATAATTAGATCACATGTATACTTGTTAAGACATTTTTATATGAAAATTAAAAGGTCAACCAAACAGGTTAAAGGTGGGCCGTTACAAAGATAAATAATAATGATAAAGCACACAAAAAATGTGATTACCACTCTGGATAATAAATCAGTATTACCAGGGTAGGTTAAGAGTAAGGACAAATTGTTTTTAAACGCATAAATGGGGTTTCAGTTTCCGTCCTTGAATGCTTTTGTACAGCTCTACAAATCCTGACTTGATGTCAACCTTATGACCAGTCTTAATCAAATGTTTCGCAATAGGAGATGAGTTCTGTCTATCTTGTGATCTTATTCGACCATTGAAATTCATTTGTTTCTGCAGCCATTTTGGTATGTTATCAGTATAGGGGTTGTGGAGATTATTAAGTTTTTGATTGAGATCATGAACCGATTGATGTTAGACTACCGTTGGAAACCTGGAAGCACTGAATGGCCATTTCGTCCTATTGTGGGACTCGGTAGTGCGCATCCACGATCCCGCGAGCGGGATTCGAACCCAGGGCCTTCAGTCCTGCGCACGAACGCTTAACCTACTGGACCGCTGAGCCGGCATCCAATGGTATCAGTGCATAGTATCAAACGATTCCCGAAATCGCGCGACCATCTTCCATTGTACTGAAGAGTCCCATACTAGGACGAAACGGCCGTCCAGTGCTTCCAAGTTTTCCGTGGTGGTCTAGCTTTAGTTGACTCATGAACTCAACTATTAAATTACCAGAATTTCCACACAACCTCCTTTTGATAATACGCATTATAATGAATTGCTCCAAACAACTAATGACGTTAATAATGTAACTATTTTTTACAATTTTAAATATCGCTTAATTAATTGAATGACGGTTGCATAATAGTAATTAGATGTGTAATATATCCAGAAAACAAGAAACAAATACAAACATTAGCATTTATGAAAGATAAAATAAGTTTCAGATTTATATGGTTAGAAATATTTCAAAAGAATAATATTTTCAGTTTATATATGTGGTGCATATGAAGTTAGCATTGATTTCGGGAGTTTATTGCATATATTTTTAAATACTTTGGTTTCAGTTTGCCAACCACCTAGCATTCTTTGTTCTTCGGGTGAGTGTATTACTCCTGAAATGCGATGTGACGGTACACAACATTGTCGAGACGGTTCAGATGAAATTGGTTGCCGTAAGTTCAGAAATATGTTTTTCTATAGAATAGTGTGTTATTAAACAAGTAATGGAATTTACTGTATGGAAATTAAGTAAAAAGATATATCCTGTTATAGACAAATTGAACGCAAGTTCATGTATCATAAAATATATAGGATTTCGGAATACAACTTACCAATTACCAAACATAGTTTTCACATGTAGTAAAGTTTCCATAGAAAAAAGAATTAAATGCTGGTTATGTTTTCCGAGGCTTTGAGATTATCCTGATAATGAGCTATTGAATCTTAGTGATACAAATGAGGTGTTAAGTCAAAATATATAAAACGCATAGAAATACTCACCCGTTTAATGTAAATCTACAGCAAGATAAACGTCTAGTTACAACTATTTACTAAATCGCTAACATTAGAGTACAAATTCCTACTAAGAGCAGGATAATAAAAACACCAAAACCGGACGAAAAATAAAATTTCATGAAAAAAATAACCATTAAAACATAAGACAAAGACCATATGCGCAAAAATACACTGAACAGGCATCCATTAAAACAATACAAAAATTTTAGAAATTATCGAGGAAACATCTCAGAGAAAATGAAGCAGTTAGTGATAACCGTCAAAATGCAATGGTTGTGTTGGTGAATGTGTAGTAACCGATCGACTTAAAGGCTGATCACATGTATGTAACCACTGTTTGAAATAAGAGACTATTCTATAGGGAATTTGTAGCATTGATCCACCGATCTAATACTGAGAGAAGATTTATGCCTCAGTGATTGTTTTGCATGTGGTCATGTTGAATGATTTTGATGATGAAGTGTTCATGGTGAAAATTAACTGAAGTATGTTTATTTGCCAATGAAATTATTTTGCAACAGCTCCTCGTTGTCGTCCTGGTCAATATCAGTGTTCTTCTGGTGAATGCATTGAACAACAAATGAGGTGTGATGGTCGACAAGATTGTCGGGACGCTTCAGATGAGACTGGTTGCCGTAAGTCAGATATCATCTGTATTTCCCATTTTAGCTAGGTGACCATTGAGAAATGTGAGAAATGTGAGAAATGTTAACAGTGACGAAAAACAGTTAGCTGTTTGATGTATTCTAACTGTTCTGACTTCTCACTAATTTTGACTTTATCACTGGTGGAAAGGAGTTATAATGATATGTTTTAGGCGATTTCGGCTCACTTATTGTATGTTGATGGAGGGAAATAGAATAGCAATGATTCGCATCATTTCAGTTCTGTTAACTTCAGTTATCTGCTGTTAGTTGATCAGCTATTATATTATTGCCCTCTAGAGAATTACCTAACCAGTGCTTTCGGTAGACCTCTTATTACGAGTCATGTCCACATTTCGAAAATAGATTAGTTTTAACGAGTGTACACGACTCCTTACTATTCCTTAGTTTGTTTGCAGTTCGTGTTCACTTGAACTGTTTACAGGAGACGACAATTTTAATAATTGGTCTTCTGATTTATTCTACTGCTTAACTAGCATTGTGGGTGGAGTGTGGGTGTATCGCGTACGGTTGGAAAGTTGTTATATCCCAATTAGCAACCGAATGACACTGCGACGTCTCAACTCGTTGAGACGTTGAAATCACACTCTTCAGACCACACAGCACTGAGAAGATTATTCGTTCATTGTGGGATGGTTGAGTTGTCACCGGCTCCCTCGGTCAGTATGAAAATCGTCCAGTCAATGATGAACAGGTCCACCTGATCTTGCAAATGTTCATATGTCTCTGTGTGTATCTGTAGGTAGCTGTATAGTCGAGATTGTGGACGAAACGTATTCTCAGAGCTGGAGTGATCTCACTCAACGCTCACAATTCACTAATCACTGGATATCGGAATGACGGGATTCTTCAATTAACGGCAAGAAGAAAAGATGTTCTCTAGAATACGCTCGTCATGTGACATTGCTCAGGTGTCGTTGATGACGTCGATAAGGACAATGGTGACGCGGGCAATGACATCGTAGAAGAGTAAGTAGAATAAGAAAAGACAGTGATGGTCAGGACGACAATCCTGATGATGATAGAGACAGAGATATGCAGAATGGTGACGATAACGACGATTGTGTTTTCTAGAGAAATCCCACCTTTCAAATTGTCATTTATTTCCAGAACTGTGTGATATTATTGTGTTCGGAGCTAAATCACATGGTAGAATATGTGCGAGAAAATGAAGCAGTTAGTGATAACCGTCAAAATGCAATGGTTGTGTTGGTGAATGTGTAGTAACCGATCGACTTAAAGGCTGATCACATGTATGTAACCACTGTTTGAAATAAGAGACTATTCTATAGGGAATTTGTAGCATTGATCCACCGATCTAATACTGAGAGAAGATTTATGCCTCAGTGATTGTTTTGCATGTGGTCATGTTGAATGATTTTGATGATGAAGTGTTCATGGTGAAAATTAACTGAAGTATGTTTATTTGCCAATGAAATTATTTTGCAACAGCTCCTCGTTGTCGTCCTGGTCAATATCAGTGTTCTTCTGGTGAATGCATTGAACAACAAATGAGGTGTGATGGTCGACAAGATTGTCGGGACGCTTCAGATGAGACTGGTTGCCGTAAGTCAGATATCATCTGTATTTCCCATTTTAGCTAGGTGACCATTGAGAAATGTGAGAAATGTGAGAAATGTTAACAGTGACGAAAAACAGTTAGCTGTTTGATGTATTCTAACTGTTCTGACTTCTCACTAATTTTGACTTTATCACTGGTGGAAAGGAGTTATAATGATATGTTTTAGGCGATTTCGGCTCACTTATTGTATGTTGATGGAGGGAAATAGAATAGCAATGATTCGCATCATTTCAGTTCTGTTAACTTCAGTTATCTGCTGTTAGTTGATCAGCTATTATATTATTGCCCTCTAGAGAATTACCTAACCAGTGCTTTCGGTAGACCTCTTATTACGAGTCATGTCCACATTTCGAAAATAGATTAGTTTTAACGAGTGTACACGACTCCTTACTATTCCTTAGTTTGTTTGCAGTTCGTGTTCACTTGAACTGTTTACAGGAGACGACAATTTTAATAATTGGTCTTCTGATTTATTCTACTGCTTAACTAGCATTGTGGGTGGAGTGTGGGTGTATCGCGTACGGTTGGAAAGTTGTTATATCCCAATTAGCAACCGAATGACACTGCGACGTCTCAACTCGTTGAGACGTTGAAATCACACTCTTCAGACCACACAGCACTGAGAAGATTATTCGTTCATTGTGGGATGGTTGAGTTGTCACCGGCTCCCTCGGTCAGTATGAAAATCGTCCAGTCAATGATGAACAGGTCCACCTGATCTTGCAAATGTTCATATGTCTCTGTGTGTATCTGTAGGTAGCTGTATAGTCGAGATTGTGGACGAAACGTATTCTCAGAGCTGGAGTGATCACACTCAACGCTCACAATTCACTAATCACTGGATATCGGAATGACGGGATTCTTCAATTAACGGCAAGAAGAAAAGATGTTCTCTAGAATACGCTCGTCATGTGACATTGCTCAGGTGTCGTTGATGACGTCGATAAGGACAATGGTGACGCGGGCAATGACATCGTAGAAGAGTAAGTAGAATAAGAAAAGACAGTGATGGTCAGGACGACAATCCTGATGATGATAGAGACAGAGATATGCAGAATGGTGACGATAACGACGATTGTGTTTTCTAGAGAAATCCCACCTTTCAAATTGTCATTTATTTCCAGAACTGTGTGATATTATTGTGTTCGGAGCTAAATCACATGGTAGAATATGTGCGAGAAAATGAAGCAGTTAGTGATAACCGTCAAAATGCAATGGTTGTGTTGGTGAATGTGTAGTAACCGATCGACTTAAAGGCTGATCACATGTATGTAACCACTGTTTGAAATAAGAGACTATTCTATAGGGAATTTGTAGCATTGATCCACCGATCTAATACTGAGAGAAGATTTATGCCTCAGTGATTGTTTTGCATGTGGTCGTGTTGAATGATTTTGATGATGAAGTGTTCATGGTGAAAATTAACTGAAGTATGTTTATTTGCCAATGAAATTATTTTGCAACAGCTCCTCGTTGTCGTCCTGGTCAATATCAGTGTTCTTCTGGTGAATGCATTGAACAACAAATGAGGTGTGATGGTCGACAAGATTGTCGGGACGCTTCAGATGAGACTGGTTGCCGTAAGTCAGATATCATCTGTATTTCCCATTTTAGCTAGGTGACCATTGAGAAATGTGAGAAATGTGAGAAATGTTAACAGTGACGAAAAACAGTTAGCTGTTTGATGTATTCTAACTGTTCTGACTTCTCACTAATTTTGACTTTATCACTGGTGGAAAGGAGTTATAATGATATGTTTTAGGCGATTTCGGCTCACTTATTGTATGTTGATGGAGGGAAATAGAATAGCAATGATTCGCATCATTTCAGTTCTGTTAACTTCAGTTATCTGCTGTTAGTTGATCAGCTATTATATTATTGCCCTCTAGAGAATTACCTAACCAGTGCTTTCGGTAGACCTCTTATTACGAGTCATGTCCACATTTCGGAAAATAGATTAGTTTTAACGAGTGTACACGACTCCTTACTATTCCTTAGTTTGTTTGCAGTTCGTGTTCACTTGAACTGTTTACAGGAGACGACAATTTTAATAATTGGTCTTCTGATTTATTCTACTGCTTAACTAGCATTGTGGGTGGAGTGTGGGTGTATCGCGTACGGTTGGAAAGTTGTTATATCCCAATTAGCAACCGAATGACACTGCGACGTCTCAACTCGTTGAGACGTTGAAATCACACTCTTCAGACCACACAGCACTGAGAAGATTATTCGTTCATTGTGGGATGGTTGAGTTGTCACCGGCTCCCTCGGTCAGTATGAAAATCGTCCAGTCAATGATGAACAGGTCCACCTGATCTTGCAAATGTTCATATGTCTCTGTGTGTATCTGTAGGTAGCTGTATAGTCGAGATTGTGGACGAAACGTATTCTCAGAGCTGGAGTGATCTCACTCAACGCTCACAATTCACTAATCACTGGATATCGGAATGACGGGATTCTTCAATTAACGGCAAGAAGAAAAGATGTTCTCTAGAATACGCTCGTCATGTGACATTGCTCAGGTGTCGTTGATGACGTCGATAAGGACAATGGTGACGCGGGCAATGACATCGTAGAAGAGTAAGTAGAATAAGAAAAGACAGTGATGGTCAGGACGACAATCCTGATGATGATAGAGACAGAGATATGCAGAATGGTGACGATAACGACGATTGTGTTTTCTAGAGAAATCCCACCTTTCAAATTGTCATTTATTTCCAGAACTGTGTGATATTATTGTGTTCGGAGCTAAATCACATGGTAGAATATGTGCGAGAAAATGAAGCAGTTAGTGATAACCGTCAAAATGCAATGGTTGTGTTGGTGAATGTGTAGTAACCGATCGACTTAAAGGCTGATCACATGTATGTAACCACTGTTTGAAATAAGAGACTATTCTATAGGGAATTTGTAGCATTGATCCACCGATCTAATACTGAGAGAAGATTTATGCCTCAGTGATTGTTTTGCATGTGGTCGTGTTGAATGATTTTGATGATGAAGTGTTCATGGTGAAAATTAACTGAAGTATGTTTATTTGCCAATGAAATTATTTTGCAACAGCTCCTCGTTGTCGTCCTGGTCAATATCAGTGTTCTTCTGGTGAATGCATTGAACAACAAATGAGGTGTGATGGTCGACAAGATTGTCGGGACGCTTCAGATGAGACTGGTTGCCGTAAGTCAGATATCATCTGTATTTCCCATTTTAGCTAGGTGACCATTGAGAAATGTGAGAAATGTGAGAAATGTTAACAGTGACGAAAAACAGTTAGCTGTTTGATGTATTCTAACTGTTCTGACTTCTCACTAATTTTGACTTTATCACTGGTGGAAAGGAGTTATAATGATATGTTTTAGGCGATTTCGGCTCACTTATTGTATGTTGATGGAGGGAAATAGAATAGCAATGATTCGCATCATTTCAGTTCTGTTAACTTCAGTTATCTGCTGTTAGTTGATCAGCTATTATATTATTGCCCTCTAGAGAATTACCTAACCAGTGCTTTCGGTAGACCTCTTATTACGAGTCATGTCCACATTTCGAAAAATAGATTAGTTTTAACGAGTGTACACGACTCCTTACTATTCCTTAGTTTGTTTGCAGTTCGTGTTCACTTGAACTGTTTACAGGAGACGACAATTTTAATAATTGGTCTTCTGATTTATTCTACTGCTTAACTAGCATTGTGGGTGGAGTGTGGGTGTATCGCGTACGGTTGGAAAGTTGTTATATCCCAATTAGCAACCGAATGACACTGCGACGTCTCAACTCGTTGAGACGTTGAAATCACACTCTTCAGACCACACAGCACTGAGAAGATTATTCGTTCATTGTGGGATGGTTGAGTTGTCACCGGCTCCCTCGGTCAGTATGAAAATCGTCCAGTCAATGATGAACAGGTCCACCTGATCTTGCAAATGTTCATATGTCTCTGTGTGTATCTGTAGGTAGCTGTATAGTCGAGATTGTGGACGAAACGTATTCTCAGAGCTGGAGTGATCTCACTCAACGCTCACAATTCACTAATCACTGGATATCGGAATGACGGGATTCTTCAATTAACGGCAAGAAGAAAAGATGTTCTCTAGAATACGCTCGTCATGTGACATTGCTCAGGTGTCGTTGATGACGTCGATAAGGACAATGGTGACGCGGGCAATGACATCGTAGAAGAGTAAGTAGAATAAGAAAAGACAGTGATGGTCAGGACGACAATCCTGATGATGATAGAGACAGAGATATGCAGAATGGTGACGATAACGACGATTGTGTTTTCTAGAGAAATCCCACCTTTCAAATTGTCATTTATTTCCAGAACTGTGTGATATTATTGTGTTCGGAGCTAAATCACATGGTAGAATATGTGCGAGAAAATGAAGCAGTTAGTGATAACCGTCAAAATGCAATGGTTGTGTTGGTGAATGTGTAGTAACCGATCGACTTAAAGGCTGATCACATGTATGTAACCACTGTTTGAAATAAGAGACTATTCTATAGGGAATTTGTAGCATTGATCCACCGATCTAATACTGAGAGAAGATTTATGCCTCAGTGATTGTTTTGCATGTGGTCATGTTGAATGATTTTGATGATGAAGTGTTCATGGTGAAAATTAACTGAAGTATGTTTATTTGCCAATGAAATTATTTTGCAACAGCTCCTCGTTGTCGTCCTGGTCAATATCAGTGTTCTTCTGGTGAATGCATTGAACAACAAATGAGGTGTGATGGTCGACAAGATTGTCGGGACGCTTCAGATGAGACTGGTTGCCGTAAGTCAGATATCATCTGTATTTCCCATTTTAGCTAGGTGACCATTGAGAAATGTGAGAAATGTGAGAAATGTTAACAGTGACGAAAAACAGTTAGCTGTTTGATGTATTCTAACTGTTCTGACTTCTCACTAATTTTGACTTTATCACTGGTGGAAAGGAGTTATAATGATATGTTTTAGGCGATTTCGGCTCACTTATTGTATGTTGATGGAGGGAAATAGAATAGCAATGATTCGCATCATTTCAGTTCTGTTAACTTCAGTTATCTGCTGTTAGTTGATCAGCTATTATATTATTGCCCTCTAGAGAATTACCTAACCAGTGCTTTCGGTAGACCTCTTATTACGAGTCATGTCCACATTTCGAAAATAGATTAGTTTTAACGAGTGTACACGACTCCTTACTATTCTTTAGTTTGTTTGCAGTTCGTGTTCACTTGAACTGTTTACAGGAGACGACAATTTTAATAATTGGTCTTCTGATTTATTCTACTGCTTAACTAGCATTGTGGGTGGAGTGTGGGTGTATCGCGTACGGTTGGAAAGTTGTTATATCCCAATTAGCAACCGAATGACACTGCGACGTCTCAACTCGTTGAGACGTTGAAATCACACTCTTCAGACCACACAGCACTGAGAAGATTATTCGTTCATTGTGGGATGGTTGAGTTGTCACCGGCTCCCTCGGTCAGTATGAAAATCGTCCAGTCAATGATGAACAGGTCCACCTGATCTTGCAAATGTTCATATGTCTCTGTGTGTATCTGTAGGTAGCTGTATAGTCGAGATTGTGGACGAAACGTATTCTCAGAGCTGGAGTGATCTCACTCAACGCTCACAATTCACTAATCACTGGATATCGGAATGACGGGATTCTTCAATTAACGGCAAGAAGAAAAGATGTTCTCTAGAATACGCTCGTCATGTGACATTGCTCAGGTGTCGTTGATGACGTCGATAAGGACAATGGTGACGCGGGCAATGACATCGTAGAAGAGTAAGTAGAATAAGAAAAGACAGTGATGGTCAGGACGACAATCCTGATGATGATAGAGACAGAGATATGCAGAATGGTGACGATAACGACGATTGTGTTTTCTAGAGAAATCCCACCTTTCAAATTGTCATTTATTTCCAGAACTGTGTGATATTATTGTGTTCGGAGCTAAATCACATGGTAGAATATGTGCGAGAAAATGAAGCAGTTAGTGATAACCGTCAAAATGCAATGGTTGTGTTGGTGAATGTGTAGTAACCGATCGACTTAAAGGCTGATCACATGTATGTAACCACTGTTTGAAATAAGAGACTATTCTATAGGGAATTTGTAGCATTGATCCACCGATCTAATACTGAGAGAAGATTTATGCCTCAGTGATTGTTTTGCATGTGGTCATGTTGAATGATTTTGATGATGAAGTGTTCATGGTGAAAATTAACTGAAGTATGTTTATTTGCCAATGAAATTATTTTGCAACAGCTCCTCGTTGTCGTCCTGGTCAATATCAGTGTTCTTCTGGTGAATGCATTGAACAACAAATGAGGTGTGATGGTCGACAAGATTGTCGGGACGCTTCAGATGAGACTGGTTGCCGTAAGTCAGATATCATCTGTATTTCCCATTTTAGCTAGGTGACCATTGAGAAATGTGAGAAATGTGAGAAATGTTAACAGTGACGAAAAACAGTTAGCTGTTTGATGTATTCTAACTGTTCTGACTTCTCACTAATTTTGACTTTATCACTGGTGGAAAGGAGTTATAATGATATGTTTTAGGCGATTTCGGCTCACTTATTGTATGTTGATGGAGGGAAATAGAATAGCAATGATTCGCATCATTTCAGTTCTGTTAACTTCAGTTATCTGCTGTTAGTTGATCAGCTATTATATTATTGCCCTCTAGAGAATTACCTAACCAGTGCTTTCGGTAGACCTCTTATTACGAGTCATGTCCACATTTCGGAAAATAGATTAGTTTTAACGAGTGTACACGACTCCTTACTATTCTTTAGTTTGTTTGCAGTTCGTGTTCACTTGAACTGTTTACAGGAGACGACAATTTTAATAATTGGTCTTCTGATTTATTCTACTGCTTAACTAGCATTGTGGGTGGAGTGTGGGTGTATCGCGTACGGTTGGAAAGTTGTTATATCCCAATTAGCAACCGAATGACACTGCGACGTCTCAACTCGTTGAGACGTTGAAATCACACTCTTCAGACCACACAGCACTGAGAAGATTATTCGTTCATTGTGGGATGGTTGAGTTGTCACCGGCTCCCTCGGTCAGTATGAAAATCGTCCAGTCAATGATGAACAGGTCCACCTGATCTTGCAAATGTTCATATGTCTCTGTGTGTATCTGTAGGTAGCTGTATAGTCGAGATTGTGGACGAAACGTATTCTCAGAGCTGGAGTGATCTCACTCAACGCTCACAATTCACTAATCACTGGATATCGGAATGACGGGATTCTTCAATTAACGGCAAGAAGAAAAGATGTTCTCTAGAATACGCTCGTCATGTGACATTGCTCAGGTGTCGTTGATGACGTCGATAAGGACAATGGTGACGCGGGCAATGACATCGTAGAAGAGTAAGTAGAATAAGAAAAGACAGTGATGGTCAGGACGACAATCCTGATGATGATAGAGACAGAGATATGCAGAATGGTGACGATAACGACGATTGTGTTTTCTAGAGAAATCCCACCTTTCAAATTGTCATTTATTTCCAGAACTGTGTGATATTATTGTGTTCGGAGCTAAATCACATGGTAGAATATGTGCGAGAAAATGAAGCAGTTAGTGATAACCGTCAAAATGCAATGGTTGTGTTGGTGAATGTGTAGTAACCGATCGACTTAAAGGCTGATCACATGTATGTAACCACTGTTTGAAATAAGAGACTATTCTATAGGGAATTTGTAGCATTGATCCACCGATCTAATACTGAGAGAAGATTTATGCCTCAGTGATTGTTTTGCATGTGGTCGTGTTGAATGATTTTGATGATGAAGTGTTCATGGTGAAAATTAACTGAAGTATGTTTATTTTCCAATGAAATTATTTTGCAACAGCTCCTCGTTGTCGTCCTGGTCAATATCAGTGTTCTTCTGGTGAATGCATTGAACAACAAATGAGGTGTGATGGTCGACAAGATTGTCGGGACGCTTCAGATGAGACTGGTTGCCGTAAGTCTGGTATCATCTCTTTTTGCTTTTTGGTTTATTAAACCTTTGTATTTGCGTAAATTTTCTTCTTTGAATTTTTCTTTTACCTTATCTTCAATTTTGATTTCTATTTTTGTATTTTTGGTTTTGTTTGTTCGCTGTTTCTCATTTTGTCTATACTTTTGTTATTCAGTTTTTTCTGATTTTTTTATCTCCTTTCCTTGCCTTTCTTTTTTATTTGTTGCTTTTTGCCTGTGTTTTGTACTTTTTCTGCCTATTGTTCTTTATTTTTATTTTCACCCTGTTATTCGTTGTTTTTCTCTGCCGTGTTTTTTTGGACTAAGCTAACTCTATAATTTTTTAGTTTTTCTTGTTGAGGTCATAATTCATTTTCTGTAAGACAGTGGTTTTTTATACAAAATTTTATAATATATCGTTATCTTTCTAATTCCTTGGTCGTTTCCCATCACTCTAACATTTCGTTTTCTACATATAACAGAAGCTATAATAATTCGTTTTGGCAGCTCTAGTCTATGTGTTCTGAATAGTAAGATTTTTTAAACGTAATAGTTTTCCATGGATATAAAATTTACCTAAAAATCCCTTACCCCATCAACCAACCCGTACCCCATTTCCATCAATCAAAAGCGTTGTTTTAGTCGGTTTATTAAATACCCAATTATCGGAACCATAAAAGTAGTGAATTTGGTTCGACACTATCGGTTCTAGCCAACCTTGTCGTCAGCTATGTATATTTCAAAAAGTGAAGCTTATATGGCTTTCAGTGAGGTGTTCGTTGGTTTATGATTTTTGGCGGAAGCAGAACTCCTGATACAACTGAGAGCATATGAGAAAGTGACTGGATGGAATTTCATAATACGAGACAGTCATCGAAAGCCAAATGATTTTTACATGAAAAGTGTATGCGAAGGGAAGTGTCATCTTTAGCGTCCGACAACTTTTCAGGAAACTCGAAGTTTTGTTTCGAGGTAGGTTCTTTATCCATAAGTTTAGAAAGCCTTCTAGTAGTAGTTGTGAACCTGATGTATTTGTGTACGAAAATTACAGGAAGGAAATAAGCGCCCAAGATGTATTCGACATGCGGAAACGTTTATTTGGACGATCTGAACTCTGAGGTCAGTCTAACGTTGATTATTATCTGTACTAGGTAGGTGATTTTGAGACGTAGACTGTAGATCAATGAGTGGAAGAAATCAACAGCAGAAGTGACGCTTTGAAAAATGTAGATCTGGATGCTACAATATCTACTGATAACGGTAAAGACAGAGGTGAAGCAAATTTGACTGTGCAATTGAATAGTAAATTCCCTGTGCTTATTGAAATATCTGATGATGAGAATGTTGGCATTATTTGTTCTAACCATCAAGTGCGGAAAAAGGTTTTTATGGATGGGTCACATGTAGATGTTCGAGATGCAGCACACCCCGTTATCTTGTCTGTTCTGTAAGAGCTGCTGAGGGTAGCCTCCCATATATGGAATGTTACGATTATGATATGTGGTTATTGGTTCTACAGATGGATGTCATATTAAATAATACTCTTCATGTTATTTTATTATGCATTTGATTCTAACTGGAATGGTTTTATGCAATATTTTATCGTTTACCTTCATTATTTTCCTTTTTAGGAGAACGAGTAAATATTCGTGTAGTGCCAGATATCATTCATACACAGCCGTACGAAAAGTGGAAGTTTGAATGCTCTGTGATAGGTGCAGATATAGAACCAATAGTCAAATTCCAAGATGGTAGACTTGTCGAATCAGATCCTAACTTTCGAGTTACTCGCATTGATCCCAACACTGTCAGCGTTGAAGCGATTCATGGCTTAACGGAAAAAAAGGAGCGTCTTAGCTTCATGTAAGGAGATTAGCCATGAATTCTCTCATTTATGTATTTTTTGATTAAATTAATATACTTTGCAAGCTGAATACAGACTTAATCCTGAAGTTCCTTTCTTAAGAAACAAGTTTTCCTATGACTTAGTTGAAGGTTTTGGAAACTTTTGATGGTATTTTCCATGATGATAATTTTCCTGCTGTACAATCTTTCTTAGTCTATATGCTGGAATGTTTAATCGAATATTATTTATTATCCATCTACTTTTTTAGACTTGTTTGATACTTACTAGGAACCTATTAGAACAAATAAGGACTCATGAGTCTATGTATTGAAATTGTTGACGATTATTAGGATGATTAGCAATAAATCCTATTTTTACTGATGCTTTCCTTATCCTTATACACGACTTAATAATGATATTCTTAATTATTTATTGTCATTGCATTTATGTAAGAGCCCAGTGGTCTACTGATTAGGCGCTTGCGCGCGAGACCAGTAGGTCCTGGGTTCGGATCACGCGAGGCGGGATCGTGAATGCGCACTGCTGAGAAGTCCCACAGCAGGGTGAAACAGCCATGCAGTGCTTCCAGGTTTTCCATGGTGATCTTGCTTCAATCGACTCATGATCTCAACTATTGAAATTACTACAATCTCCACAAAACCCCTTCTGATACGAATAAACTATCATTTAAACAAATGTTAATACCATTTCTTAATTTTATGGTATGATATACTTGATTAATACAATTTGAACGAAATTATGACTTCTTAAAATTACATCAGATAGACTTTTTATGGATAACATTGCCGATTATGATGTAACCCTGGCTTGATATTTTTATGGATATGGATTACCATGAAAACTTTTAAATATACTCTTAACAAAAGGAGTTTTGTCAGTACATTATTTTGATGCGTATATGAAAAATGTGTACCTTTTTTTTGGAAACCTAACTTAATGGCCTAGTTATCCTAAAAACGATCCTCTTACAATATGACGAGTACATTCAACTATTAAAAATGTCTATAAATCAGAAAATGGTATAAGATTATTTAATAGTGAGATTATAAATAATGAACGATGGTAAATTCATCACTACCTTTTAATGGCAAGTTAATTCTACTTAAATCAATATGGTTTCAAAATAAAGTCCACATAATAAGGACCAATTAGGTTTATTTAAAAAAAAACGGTGAAATACAACCATAAATAAAAAGATTAGTTACGATAAAGAAACCCCATCTAACTGTTGAGTTACATTCGTCTTTATCATAAATCAATATTGTTAGATACTGTACAGTATTCATAAAATTATTAAATGTAACTCAAACTACTTGGTATTGGATAAACAGTACTTTATACCATAGAAATAAACAGATGCGATCCAGAAATGAAAACTGATTTTAACACATTGTATATAACGACACAGTGTATTGTTTAATTTATTTGAAGAGTAAATGTAAATTACCGAGTAATTCAACAATTTCATAAAATTTGATTAAATGATTCTTTTGCATATATCTATTTCACTATCTATTTTAAATATGTTAAATGTCAACGAAACCTCTCTAAATATAATAAAATAGTACAATCAATTTTGTAGTGAACAGAACACGGGTGGGGACAGTCAAATTGTCTCACATTTCATTGTTCATGCGTTTTCTTACAAATTGCATTGTGTTCCCACTCTTTCTTTCTTGATCTTCCCCTATCTTCTGCTGCCAGACATTACATTTTTAACTCGCGTCATATACTACTTACATCAATATAAGTAGCACTCACCACACTCGTCCCCCCCCCCACTTTAAAGCAGTCGTTCTTGCGGTAGTTCATGCTCTCCGTGCAACATTCTCCGTCTCTGCAGTCTGTGCCACGCTCCTCGTCGAAATTTCGAGTTTGCGGCTTCCATAGCTCCGTCGACCTGCCGGGGCAACAACATCCGACATCCACCCGGCACCTGAGACACCTAACACCCGTGCTCCACCGGTCTGCTGAGCCATCTACATCCGATGTCCACCCAGCAGTCGCACGTCCCACCGCTCCTCTTCGTCGACAGCACACGCTACAGCCAACGCCGCCCCGCCAGAATACTCCACTTGACGCCAACTCTCCGCACCAGACTGCCCAACTAGCACCTCAGCACCAGGCCCGCAACGACGTCCGCAGAACAGCACCCTCCTCCTCTCCTGGTTGGCAGTGACACCAAATGTAGTGAAGGAACACGGGTGGGTCAATCGAATCGTCTCACATTTCATTGTTCATGCGTTTTCTTACAAATTGCATTGTGTTCCCACTCTTTCTTTCTTGATCTTCCCCTATCTTCTGCTGCCAGACATTACATTTTTAACTCGCGTCATATACTACTTACATCAATATAAGTACCACGCACCACAGTTTGACTATCAAGCTTAGTTTCATTCATAGTTTAAAAGTTATAAACCAGATCAAAATGTTAAACTTCTTTGATCATTGTATTGTTTGTTTTAAATCGAAAAATCTTTAAATATTTTATTTCTTTTTAATTTGATAGTGAATAATATCTTACCTGCAAATCAATTGCTAGATATAAAGTAGTATTACTAATGTAATTCTTGCTAATTATTTCACAGATGTACATTCCCTGGTGGACCAGAGGAGGAGATAGATGTTTATGTTCGACGACGATGTCCTCATGGTGAATTCATGTGTAAAGATGGAACATGTCGTCCAGAAAGTGATTTTTGTAACGGTCGAGTTGATTGTCCTGATGGTTCAGATGAACGACCTCCATATTGTAGTAAGTTTAAATAAACTATTAAATACTTTATTATTGTCTTAATATTTCAAATTGTTTCATTCTTTACAAAAAGTAACTAATGAGCTCTATCTCAAATTTACCAAAACTCAATTAATTTTTTTCTATATTGAGATCTTATTAGCTAAAAATTACAAATGCTTATTGTAAGTCATATCCTATTGTTTAAATTGTTTAGTTGCTTATTAATCATTTGTTTATATTGAAAAAGATACAAAGCTATAATTCATATCTGGTTGGTCTTTGTTTTTATATAAATTTATTCATAACTAAATAAGAAATGATATATAGTTGTCGTTTGTGTAAGTGTATAATGTTTCCTGAAGATAATATGTGAAATTTATTATTACATTCTAAGCACTCTAGTTTAGTCAAATTGATATCATTAATTTTGATGGAGTTTTGTTCTCTGAGGTGGATGTTTTGGTCGTGGAGCTTTCATCGTTCTTCTGAACGACATCATCAACACAAACTTCAGATAAAAGTGAAGTGTTCGAATTTCTTCATATACGTTTCACAGCTTGTTATGTACACCTCGACGTTGATTGGTTCTTATTGACCTTAAATTTGTCATTGTTTACTTCAAAATCATCCACCTAAGCTACATATCTTCTCCACCATCTTGATATTATTAATATTATTTTCCACATTCAGTAGTTACTATGCTTTATGAAGTATTTACTATGTTCATATGAATAGAGGGTTATTTCATAAATTAGAGAAGTGATATAAAATACTTCAGTTTCTGATCAAACAAGCAGAACTTCTGATTATAATTTATACTGGCTAATTTTTAACACATATGGTTACTGTAATGAAAGTTTACAACTAATCTTTTATTTATGCTCTGAGATATCTATCAATTCAGCTATTTCATATCGTGATATTTTCTACTGATCTTAACAGATATAAGTAGTATGTATCGTCACTCAAAAGTGAAATGCCCAGAGGCATAAGGTTAAGAAGATTAAAGTAACGAGAACGAGAATGAAGAATGATTGGTGTGGAATCGAAAGAAAACTGAAGTTTGAAACTTACTGTATGGTTCTCAGATTTTACTAAAATATCCTGTAATTTTGCATTCAAGTACATTCGATTATCCTCAATTGTGTTTTCGTTCACTACAATATCACTAGTCAATACTACTAGTAGTCTAGATTATGAATAACTTGAATATTGATAATTTTTTTTCGATAATTAATACAGTGAAATTTGGAAAACATAAAGAGATGAACTCTTTCTCATCACCTTATTACTGTGTTGTTTGTTTTAAATATGACACTGGTTTATTATGTTTCTTTAAAAACTTGTTTATATTTAAGTAATTTGTTATATCCCTATGAGAATAATGAATGGTAACTGTTGGGATTATTTCTAGACCAATACTAAACGTATATTTTTATTGTATAATTGTTAAATGACTAAACCATTCATATTCGTGTTTCTCTTATCATAAGCTTTATTTTGAATTATGAACCATTGTTATACGATTTATCATTGTTGAATTACACTCAGTCTGTCTCCCACAATCACAGCCACATTTGGCTAAATCTTGTACAAATGTTATTTCCTATTTTATAATACAATGTGGTCTGTTTGGTTGGTATATAAACCCAGTATGTTTGAAACATATGATTCATATCGGATAGGGTGAGATTGGTGTTCAGAACTTAATAGGCAGGGCTAGGTCGGAGGCAGGACCGATAAGTACTGTAGACTTCCCGTACAGGTTTTATGCGTCATCGGTCCGGTCGATAATTCACTATTCTCTAATTGGCGTTATCATAACGTCTTACAGTAATAGGACACAGGGCACAAGTTATAACATAATTCAATTCACCTAATTATATCAAGTAATTATGATGCCAAGAAAAGAACTGTACTATAAATTTTTTTAAAAAATTACAGTAAAGTCATCGAGATTGTTCTTTCAATGCTTTATTATTGTAGATTTATATTTACCTCTATTAAACTACACAATATACCTTGTGAATATATATTTTTTCCAAATAAAAATAATTAACATCTTTATTTTATAAAATAGGGGAAATTGTACAAGTGGAAGTTAAACCAAGCATTATTCATGTTCAACCGTATAAACGTTTTGAATTTGAATGTATTTCTTATGTTCCTGGGATAAAACCAGAAGCTCGATTACCTAGTGGTATACTTGTAAGTCAAGATCCACGTTTTAATGTAATATACCTTTCACCAAATCATCTTCAAGTAAATGCAATATATGGTTTAACAGATAGAGATCATCCATTCCAGATTTAGTAAGTTCTAAACTGTAAACTTATTTGAATAACTATATATAACATGAATGGTTATTAATAATTATTTTAAATACAAGTGTAATCAACCGCCATCACTTGAGAATTCATTGAATAATGTGTTAGGTATAAAATCTTATCCTATCCTCATTTGGATATTTTTTATCAGTCACCTATTGTCAAATAAATTCTAAATTCTTTACTTCATTTCAGTGGTTAAAGTTTATATTGTAGTCAAGTTAAATTATATACAAATAATCACTCTTAATCTGTTGTATTCTCAGACTATTCATGTTTATCTTGCATACAGTTAACGAACCAATTTTTGTTTTGATTGTAGTTGTATATTTCCTGGATTAGAAAATAGAACTGCTGTAATAGAAATTGAAAGACCTTGTCCAAGTGGACAGTTTCAATGTATGGATGGACGATGTTTACCATCTAATGTATTTTGTGATGGCAAATCGGATTGTTCAGATAGTTCAGATGAAAATGAACGATACTGTGGTAAACAAGTTATTAGATTGTTATTTTTTATTATTTTTAATCCTATTTTTACTTTAATAGTCATATTTCATAGCAAAAGTTTGATAGGTCTATCGCAAACCATGAATCAATCTTTTTGAATAGAATTTTACAACACTTTATGTTTTCACTGTTTGAGTTTTTCAACTTCGGTGAGTTGAAGTTATGAAAACTGAATACACAACAATGAGCAAGAATTAAGCAGACAGTGACACGGATTAGCAAATTTTTTAAAGGTAACAAATACAAAATCCATTTATAACCAAAGATGAATAGTGGCTAGCAGTGGAATCTAAGACTCGCGTTTCGTCCTATTTGGGACTCGTCAGCTGGATGTACCTGCATCTCAGCGTTGATGTTCACTATGGGATTCGAGTCCAGCATTTTTGCCTATAATGCTTGTTAATTAACGCAATATCTAGGCGATACGCACAGTATGCACATATGCCAATAACAGACCGATCGATTTCAGTCCTAAACATCAGTGGGAAGATTCAAGTAAAACAATACCAAGTGAATCAAAATCCATTTAGTTTGAACATAAATCTTCTTAGAGTAGGCACTTCATAAAATCAAAATATCAAAGAAATTATTCTAAATTATGTAACTTACTACTTTTGAGGAATATCTTATTATTAGAAACATTTATTTTCAAAAATATCAGAATCCAAGTACGATCAAACATGTTTTCCGGAATGAAATCAACCTTCTCAATACTTCAGGATTTTGGCTGAAATGATATAACTCAACCCTCGTCCAGTAGCATTTACGATTGTCTTCATATTCAGCTCTATGATTCCTCATAATTACAACACAAGAAAATCCTTTTTCCGTTTATTCTGTTTTCGACTGAAAAACCGTAAAGGGAAAATGAATTGTATTATTTAACTTTTACCAAAATGTTTAAACTTTTGAAAATAGTCAATCTTTTCATCCATTTATGATAAATCGATGCACAGTGTGCACCATACTACTTGTGCCGATGGCTTAATCATGTCCTCCACTAGGGCAGCTCTTAAACTTTTATGACAAGATGATATTCAAACAATAACATTCTATAGCCATCACTTGTAGGAACATGAGAATAGTATAGCAGGAACGTACAATCTGATAAAATTCAGTTTATACTTTCATCGTAAAATCATTTAAAGACTTAACATTCTCAGATAGGAGGACATTTTTCTCCAATATCCAATCCCACGTTGAGAACGCGAATTAATTCATTACACCATTGTTATAAATGAATGATATATAAATTCATTTGAAGATAATTCATATTAAGAGATGACATGATTTGAAGACGCATTAGAAACTACCTAGTTCGTTCAGTTACAGAACTTCTCGTGAGTGAGAACTCACATCCCTACATGAGATATCACCCAAGACCCCCAGTTCTGATGGCCAACATTAGCGCCCTTAAACCAACTAGTTGAGATTCGGATGTCTGATTGTTTCAATTTTTATCAGTTTGTAGTTTAGAGGAAATTACATCAAATGGCATCGGTGGATTATCATTTTTCACAGTTTGAGATAAAAATTACATTTAGGTTGATAGGAATCTCCACAAAACTCCTATTAATAGACTTCATACTAACTAGCTGCATTAAGGTTTAGTGTAACCAAAAATTGATGCCTTGAAAACACTATATTGTTGATGCAAAGCCAAATACAGTCTTTGTTCCGCAATGTCTTCACCTATAGTCTGGCCTACGATAAACCTATCAAATCAAATCTTAAAGCATCTGGAAAATAGTTGTCATATTTTTTTCTACGGATTTCGTATCACTTCTTTTATTTTAGCTGTAAACATCAGAGTGACACCAGGTTCGATTCGTGTAGTCCCATATCAACGTTTTCAATTCGAATGTTCAACGTCAATCCCAGGCGTATCTCCTCAAGTAACGTTTGACGAGCGTTCAGTAGAAAGAGACAATCGTTTTGTTGTTACTCGTCCAAGTCTTCAAACTATAGTAGTGACAGCGCCAACTGGCTTATCAGAAATTGGTGCACACAGATTTAAGTAAGAATTAAATCTAATCCATTAATTATAATTTTCTAGTAGGAAAGACCATTCATTTTAAAAGGTTTATAGCGTATATTAAGCATAAAATTATGAATTTTTCAAACAGAAGTAAATTCTCACCTATCAGTTGAGTTTATAGTTTGCTTAATCTACACACTAGCCTCTGCATAATTAGGCCTCAACATACACCACGGAAAAAACAAGATCCTCGAATACAACAGGGAGAACATCAACCCAATCACACTCGATGGCCAAACTCTGGAAAATGTGCAATCCTTCACGTACCTGGGAAGCATCATCGATGAACAAGAAGGATCGGATGTAGACGTAAAGGCAAGGATTGGCAAAGCAAGGGCCGCATTCCTACAATCCAAGAACATATAGAACTCAAAACAACTCTCGACCAATATCAAAGTCACAATCTTCAATAGAAATGTCAACACAGTTCTACTATACGGAGCTGAAACTTGGAGAACTATTACGACCATCATCAAGAAGGTGCAAGTATTTACAAATAGTTGTTTACGCAAGATACTCAATATTCATTGGCTGGATACCATCAGCAACAGCCTACTGTGGGGGAGAACAAACCAGCTTCCAAATGAAGAAGAAATTAAAAGACGATGTTGGAAGTAGATAGGACATACATTTCGGAAATCATCAAACTGCATCACGAGACAAGTGATAACTTTGAATCGTGAACGGAAGCGGGAAAGAGGAAGGCCAAAGGGCACTCTGCCTTGAGAATTGGAAGCAGACATGAGAAGGATGAATAGAAACTTGAAAGGACTGCTAAGGACAGAGTTAGATGGAGAGTGCTGGTGGGCGACTTATGCTCCTCCACGAGTAGTAACAGACGTAAGTAATTAAGTAATCTATACACTTTTAATAATTGTTCAAAATACGTTAATTTGGTCAAGATGGAGAATTTTTCAGTTGTCTACTAAGATTATATAGATTTACTTGAAAAGAAATATAGAACTGAACTAATCTCATTATCAAAGATGAGATGTTTTTAAAAAAATTAATGATGTACATACAGAAGTCATTGTTGTAGTGTAGTTATAAAGTCAATCAAGAAGTCTAAACCAGTTGAATTTAGTATAGTGAATGTAAATGATACAAAATATTTCATCAAAAGAATATTGTTCTATTTATAAGTTATAATACCTAGAATAGAGTTGTTCATAATTAGAAGTATTTAATGTTAAGTGATAAATTATTGTGAGTATTATAAACTCATCATTTGAAACAAGAATAATTAAACAGTGAATGGTGTTTACTTCCATGTCGTACTGCGAAAATGCTGGTCAAAAATTTTACAGACAGAGCCTTCGTCTGTTCCATATTTGGCATGAAAAATAGATTATCAGTAAATATTATTCTAACTTACAATAAATTAATGTGTTACATTTTCATTTAGTTTAATGGAAACAATCACCAATATATCCAAATAAAGCTTCATTAAGATCCTACATTAAATTTAGACGTTTGTGAGAATGATCATGAATCAACAGTATAAACACAATATTTTTTCGACCGTAATATGTTAATTATAAGCAGAAACTATGGAAATTATTGATTTGATGGGAATATAATTTAAATGAGTTGTATCGTTTATATTACTGTTTACTAATGATCAATAACCAACCAAATCTTTTAGAAGTCGAATTCGCGAGCCAATCTAAGCTAGACCACCATTCAAAACCTACAAGCACTGCACAGGCGTCTTGTCCTAGCATGGGACTCCTCAAAAGTGTTCATCCACAATTTCACACTCCGTAATCGAACACAGCGATTTCGGTATCGCGCTATAGATCACTCAGTCAGTATCCAATGTTACTAATGTTTGACTTCAATCACCCCATGATTTTGCATAACCCTTCATCTTTTGTCTGAGGTGGATAACTCTTTCACACTTGACACGGACTGGACTCCATTGGTCATGGTTCCTCAATAAAACTCCAGGAGTTACATCTTGAACCTAGTCACCAGCGAGCACATGATTATGATCGTGGATGCGCACTGCTGAGTCCCATACTAGGACGAAACGGTCATCTAGTGCTTCCAGGTTTTCAGTTATGGTCTAGTTTAGATCGACTCGTGAATTCAACTAGTAAAATGCTCCAATCTCCACAAATTCTCTTAATGGTAACTGAATTTTTGCCAAATTTTAGGTTAAGCAAACTAAATCTGCATATTTAATATGACCACTATAAATGCAGATTAAGAAAAGGTTTCTTTACAGGAAAAGTTATCGTTAACGGTAACTGACTCGACTAAGTGAATATTCGGATATTACTTCTATGACAATAGAAAATGTCAATCTATAGTAAATTATATTAGTGTTGAAACTTTAATTGATCATTTAAACAAAATGGCTAGTGAGAATTTCAATATTTATAGTTATAAGCGAATTAAGATGAAATTTTACCTATTATTTAATTTTCTTAGATGTATTGTATCCGTAAATATTGTTAAAGAAGTTGATGTAGAAATCATAAGTGAATGTCCACCTGGGCAATTAAAATGTAGATCTGGTGAATGCTTGCCAAGAGCAGTATTTTGTGATGGGAAGTATGATTGTCCAGATAGATCAGATGAAGATCCAAGATCATGTGGTAAGATTCTCTGTTTACTGAAATAATGATATTTCATCTTACTTTTCAATCATTAATATTCATTCAAGCGATAGATTTGGTCGATTCTAATCACTAAAGTATGAGGTTTATATAAACGATAGTAATAATATCCTTTTTTGTAAGTTTTCTTTTTGTATGTTTATCTGAAGGACTTTGATGGAGTTTTGTTCTCTGAGCTGGATAGTTTGGTCGTGGAGCTTTCATCGTTCTTTTGAACGACATCATCAGCACAAACTTTAGATAGAAGTGAAGTGTTCGAATTTCTTCGTATACGTTTCACAGCTTATTCTGTACACCTTGACGTTGATTGGTTCTTATTGACCTTAAGTTTGTCATTGTTTACTCCTTCGTTTTGGTTGTGTCTCCCAGTGGTTTGATTTTTGTTCCTATATTTGTGCATAATTTTCCTGATTAGTTGATAAATTGAATCGATTACAATGTGCTTGTTGATTGCTGATTGACCTGAGTGCCAGGCTTCTAAAAATTCTCTAGTGTTTTTGGAATTTCCTCTGTCCAATATTACCACATTTTTCCAATCGAACGAGTGTCCGCAGTTGTCCATGTTTATTGATATAAGTGAGGAAGTATAATATAATGGTTTTAGTTTGAAAAATTAGCCACATATATTCAACATGTGATCTTCTGATAGGCTAAGACAATATGAAATGTAGCATCGAAACAAATTATTTCACGTAACACTTATGTTGAAAGCTCTGGATTGTTATGATGGGATAATCATTCGGTAAAATACTAGTATGACTGACTAAACCGTAAAGATTATTTATTCGGGAATAGTACCGTTGAATTCTAACCGATTATTTTTCACCAGAAAAACCAGTTAACTGTTATTTATAAACAAAATATCAGATATCAAATACTTAGCGTGGATTAATAGTGAAAATGACTATCACAAAAAGAAGTGAGAGAGTCACCGTTTCATCTATAGTACAAAAGAGTAGTGATGAAATAGACTGGCTTAATGAATAATAATACCAAACAAATGTTTGAGAAATCCAAACAGTATAAAGAAAAAACAAATGGAGACTGCTAGTGATATTTTGTACTGGTAACATTGAAAACAATAAATCATATTATATTCAAACATCCTAGACCCTATTCCAGGTTATTTTTGACAGGACAATGATAAGTTGCAGTAGCTAAAAAAGCACGTTGATAAGTCTGTCTAATTTAAAGCGGGCTCAATAAATTATTCTCATATTTCATCCGTCAAGCACATCCTAAACCATCTAATGTCAGAATCACTGCATACCGTTTCAGTGATTAAGATTCCTACACGGAACACACTTTAGTAACCTGTGTACATAGCATTTTTTAAAATTTTCTAGATAGTTCACTTATTCAAGCTAGTATTATCCTTAGTGCTTCTGTATGACTTTCATCTTGTTTTAGACATAGATAGCTTAATTATGTGATAAATAAGGACTCTTCTTCCATATGAATAGAAATAATCATCTGTGCTTCACAAACTGTTTTAATTAGATTAGAGTTTGAAAATATCAGACGTATGAAGTAGTAGATAATTAACAATGTGGTTGAAATGAATAAAAATATTTAATATCACTGTTTAAATGCTAAGCATTTTCTTTTTATTCTCATTTTCATTTTACTGACATCAGTTCCTACAATTATTATTACTCCAACAACAATTTTAACAAGACCACATGAATCTTTTCAATTTGAATGTAAATCAGTTATGCCAGGTGGTGAACCAAAAATTACACTTGAAGGTTATCCAGTTGAAAATGATCCTAGATTTACAATTGTACGTCCAAGCCGTGAACATGTTATTGTTCGAGCAGAAAGTGGTATTGCTGATCCTGGAAAATATTCTTTCACGTATGAAAACATAGTATACAATTAAAAATTCTTAACAATCACATTTATTACACAACGATAAAATTCCTATCCTAAAATATATTTTATTATTGTTTACCTGAATAAAGACAGAAATCAAGCACCCGCTTTAGGACTTGATAATACTAACTATTTCTGACTTTAAGGTGTACTTTGAAAGGAAACGTTACTGTTTAATTTTAAAAAATAAGCCCTTCTTTCAGTGCATCACATCAGATATAGTCTAATTTCTAAATTCATAAGTTCTAGAGTTCAGCAATTAAAAAGTGTACTTATGAAGATTTAAATTTAAGATTTTACGGTCAAGCGAAAGTTTATAAAATAGGGTATATGCAATAACACAGATTGAAATCATGAGACAATTGAAGCTAGACCAACATGAAAAACCTGGAAGCACTGGACAGCCGTTTCGTCCTAGTAGGGGACTCCTCAACAGTGCGCATTCACGATCCCACACCCCGCGAGATTCGAACCCAGGACCTATCAGTCTCGCGCCAAGCGCCTAACCAAATAGACCACTGAGCCGGCATCCAATGGTGTTAATGTCTAACTTCAACCAATCCACGAAGTTGCGCCACCGTATACCATCGTCTTGAGTGGGCTGATATCTCACGGGGTGCGGGATCGTGGATGCGCACTGCTGAGGAGTCCCATACCGGGACGAAACGGCCGTCCACTGCTTCCAGGTTTTCCATGGTGGTCTAGCTTCAATTGACTCATAATTTCAATCTGTAAAATTTCTAAAATCTCCACAAACCCCCTCTGGTATATGCAATATGTTTACAAAAGTTAACTACATAGCCGTTTAAATCAAAATACACTAATCGAAATAAATAAATAAAATAAAATAAAGTGAGTGGACTACTGAGCTATCTTGTTAAAACATTTTACTAAAACACAATTCTCCGAAATTCCTCAACATTATTACTTATGTGATAAGTGATTATACTGTCTCTTATTTTGTCAGAATTTGAAGATTCACTAATTTGACACCATTTGTATTCAGTGATAACAGTTTCTTTTGTATTTATGTAAGTTCGAGTTAGTTACCTGAGACCTATCTTATATTTTAATAGAAAATTCCATTTGTTGTGATGTGGGGAGTGTTATAATTTTTTATTCCATCACATTAAGCATGTTATTCTTACCATGGTTTTCTCAAAAAAGATATATTTATGGTCTAGTAATTCCCATATAGTGTAATCTACTTAAGACACAGTGTGCATTTTAAATTATTATAAGAATTCAATAATAACTACTGTTTCATTAATCCAATACAACTTTGATTTATTATAAACATATGAAATTATATGTATCTCTCATCTTATTTCATACATTCATTAGGTGATGTGATTAGTTTTATGCTGTATATTCTTGATTAACTTGGTGGTATCACTGATTCTTAAATAAACTAAAGTTGATAAAGTGAGATTTCAATCGATCACTCATTAGTTGAAAACCAAAAGCTTCGACTGCTAAAAACTACTATTCTGTAATCGTTGAAACCTAGATATGAAGTCTTTTAGTTCATTTAAATGAAATTTCTATTTCTTATCAAACAGACTGGTGAAATGATATTTATGAAATAACAATTCTGTTAGTACATAATTCCCGATGTCCATAACCTGATCTGTTTAATGTCAAGTGTTCTTAACGTGGAAAAGACTTAATCAACATGACTTTTATTCTGTAACACTAACAGATTGGTAGAGTTTCAGACAAATAAGCATTTTTTTCAATGTATAGCTGATGTAAAGTAAAAAAATTATAAGTAGTGTCCATAACACTAAACTATCAGTTTAAAGAAAGTAATTCACTAAAATTACTTAGATTCCTACTTAGTTTTTCTTTAGAAACCAAACTTGTTTTATTAGGCTTTTGCACTTTTGATCTGCACACTTGATATCATGAAGCGATTAAATTTCACAAATAATTCCACTTATATATATATATATATATATTATTTTAAATTCAGTTGCACCGTAGTAAGTGCAGCTAGTAAGACAATCGTGGTACAAGTTGAATCAGTATGTCCACCTGGTTATTCTAAGTGTAAAGATGGAATGTGCATCCTGGACAACCAGTTTTGTGATGGGATAATTCATTGTCGAGATGGCTCAGATGAAGACAAGTTACGGTGCCGTGAGTTGAACATATTTATACATTGATATTTAATTGTTAAATAAAATATTAGGAAAACTAAATGCTATGAATAATATCTTATCCACTAAACAAAAGTTTAAAACAGCATTTTAAATAAGTTATAACGTTAGAATATATATTATGTCACTATCCATTTTCACGAAGATGTTAAAGAACTCAAACGAGAGCTTGAACAAACAAAATATTGGTTACCCTGCAAGATACAATTTAATACGACTGAATGAATACGAAATAAGTTTATTGGAACTACAGATGAACACGTCAAGTAATAAGTCATACTGTGGTGCGTGCTGCTTATATTGATGTAAGTAGTATATAACGCGAGTTAAAGAACGTAATGTCTGGCAGCGGAAGATGGGGAACATCAAGCAAAGAAGAGCGAGAACACAATGGAGCTTGTTAGAAGTCACATGAACAATGAAATATGAGACAATGGATTGATGTTTGCAACGGCAACAGTCCGGTTTGATATGATGGAATGATATTTTGCAAATTAACGATTTCTATTTTATCAAGTAACTCTGTAATTTGCGCTAAATACAATTCCGTTGTCCTCGCCTGTGTTCTCCTTCACTACATTTGGTGTCACTGCCAACCAGGTGAGGAGGAGGGTGCTGTTCTGCGGACGCCGTTGCGGGCTTGGGGCTGGGGTGGTGGTCGCGGCAGTCTGGTGCGGAAGGGTGGCGTCGGGTGGAGTGTTCAGGCGGGGCGGCGATGACTGTAGCGGGTTTTGTCGACGAAGAGGAGCTGTGGGACGTGCAGCTGCTGGGTGGACATCGGATGTAGATGGCTCAGCAGACCGGTGGAGCACGGGTGTTAAGCGTCCTAGGTGCCGGGTGGGTGTCGGATGTTGTTGCCTCAGCAGGTCGACGGAGCTATGGAATTCAGCGCTTCGCAGACTCGACATTTTGAAGGAGAGCGTGGCACAGACTGCAGAGACGAAGAATGTTGCACGGCGGGCATGAACCACCTCAAGAACGACTGCTTTAAAGTGGGGGGACGAGTGTGGTGCGTGCTACTTATATTCATATAAGTAGTTTATGTAATGTTCGGCAGCAGAAGATGAGGGAAGATCAAGAAAGCAGGAGCGGGAATAGAATGCAATTTGCATGAAAATGCAAGAACAATTAAATCCGAGGCATTTTGAGACAATTGGTGGACATTTTGCAAATTAACAATTTAATATATAGTTCTCAGATTTTATTGAGATGTTCTGTAATTTTTGTGTCAGGTACATTCGATTGTCCCCACCCGTGTTCTGTTCACTCCATACTACTGAAACGCACACGAACATTTATTTATTCACAAATTTAAGTTGTAACAGTTCTTCAATTGGCTGAAAATAACTAAGTTATATGAATTAAAATGATTGTTCAATCAATCATATAAAACGTTATGTCTTTCAATGATTTTTCACTTGAATGTGGCATAAAATTGAGACCTACTGCTGCTGAGGCTGCTGCTACACTGGTTGTCTTCTCCTGCATTTGTTGTTGCGTGTGCGATAGAAGAGCCGGATCATCTGCGAAGTTTAGATCGTCCAGTTGCATCCTAACTATCCACTGTATCCCGTGCTTCCCCCCTCCCAAGATGTTGACGTCTTCGTAATCCAGGAGAAAGAGAAAGGGTGAGAGTAAGCAACCTTGCTTGACACCGGTCTTTACTTCTAACGAGTCTGTGATCTGTACTCCATGCACAATTTTGCAGTTTCATCCATCATAATGAAAATCTAAATTATTTCAGATTTTGTTATTCAATTCTAATGTACAAAGAAAATATGTTTTCACTCACGAGAGTGGGTTTTTTTCATATCTTGTTAACGATAAACTATTTGAGTTAGACTGATATCATAACATTTTCTCTTGTGCTTATTAAATTTAATTGGTGACACAAAAAATATCACAGCACTCAAAACCATTCGAAAATCTAAGCACATTTTGAAATCACTACTCCCAGAGATTGAAGACTTCTAAAAATCCACTTGTTTTTTAATAAATGTTCTGATTTGAATGTCACATAGAGTAGAAATTTCATTCATCACACAAAAACTTAAACTCACTGGATACTCATTAACACTGAGATACTATTTTATACCAATTAGCTAGTAATTACTTAATCTTTATTCGTTTCTGATAGTTGACATATAACTGTTTGTAAGACGTCACGAAAATACAAGTTACGAATGAATATGGAAGTTATATAATTTTAGATAGGTTGTCTATAAGGTTTTATTGGTAGTAGATTTATCGTTCCATTATATTGTCCGTTGTTAACCTCATAATGACTGAACGATATCAACTCAGTGAATGTATAAAGCATTGAAGTTTGATAATACACTGACTCGGAAAATAATGTTACCCAAGTTTTTTAAGTCATACAGGAAGAAGATAAATGCACTTGGTATTGTTTTACTTGAATCTTCCCATTGATGTTTTAGGACTAAAATTGATCAGTCTCTTATTGGCATATGTGCATACTGTGCGTATGCATCGATATTGCCTTAATTTACAAGCATTATAAGCAAAGATGGATAGTGGCTAGCAGTGGAATCCAAGACGCGCACTTCATCCTGTTTGGGACTCGCTTTGAGGCGAACGGTACTGAGTTCGAGTCCCAGAGTGAACATCAACTCGGAGATGCAGGTACATCCAGCTGACGAGTCCCAAACAGGACGAAACGCGCGTCCTGGATTCCACTGCTAGCCACTATCCATCTTTGCTTATAATGCTTGTAAATTAAGAAGATAAACGCATTGTAACATTATACACATGTATAAAACATGATCAAAGTTACACGAGAGTAATTGACAGAGACAAATATACGGGTGACAGATTAAGTGGAGAGATTAGAATAATTCCTCTGTCCAAATACTAAAATAAATCACATAGGCGTGTAACAATACCGAGCACCAAATATTTAGCAAACAGACAAGGAAACTTACCACATTCAACTTTATTATCACTGAGAATACTAAGACCTATCGTCCATGCTGTAACTTAGTAACCGTTGCTAAATGATTCGTAAAAGGCTATGACACTTCATGCATTCAACATCTCCTTATTACGATCTGAAAGTATCTCACTATCAAAGGCTTTTATATATTTGAATATAGTTTTCACTAACTGACAAGGAATAGTTTGTTCTCGAAAACGCAAAACCCCTGTAATAGTATGATCATTTCTTGAAAATAGAATTAGAAGGCTAGTTCATAATAATGAATGGATTATGATGCGTTTGTCAACAGCCATCTCTATAAAATGGTGAATACTAGCTTAGACCATAAAAACTAAATGAATTTAAATCTTCTATAATAGTCTTACTCAAATTATTCTACCTCAATAATTTGAATATTAGTGATTAGTGGTTGTTTTGTAACTCTGTTATTAGCTGAAGTGGCTGTTGATGTACGAGTTCACTTTACTCCTGGTGAATTACGAATTCAACCTGGTCGAGCATTCCGTTTGGAATGTGTGACGGATAAACCGGGCACATCTCCAGTTTTACAGTTTCTTGATGGGAGACCAATAACAAGTGACCCAAGGTTTGTGGTTTCTAGGCCATCAACTGAACGTGCCATCATAGACGTTCCTGGAGGCCTTGATGCCAGAGACAGACAGATCATAATCGAGTAAGCTTAAATTTATTGACAATACTCATTCACATATTTTAATCATGTCATTACTAATTTCTGCTAGTTGTAGACTTATTGTAAATATTACTATAATTCAGGTTAAAATAGATAGTCTGTTTGTACGTAAATAGATAAATTAATCGAAAAGAACTGAAAATAATTCAATGAATAACCACTTTTTTAAATTAAATTTAGGCATTTAATGTTTATAAAAATCTACAAATTAAATATTGTCATAGTTAAAATCACTAATCGACCAAAGCCAGACCACTATTGGAAACCTGAAAGCTCAAGACGGCAGTTTCATCCTAGTTATGGACTCCCCAGAAGTGTTCATCCCTACTTAGGATGAGGGAATCAAACCCAGGACCTTCGGTCTCTTCTCACGAACCCTTAACCGCTAGACTCCATACCATTAATAACCATGTGTCTACTAATGACTAGCTTCAAGATGTGACTCCTGGAGTTTTATTGAGGAACCATGACCAGTGGAGCCCAGTCCGTTTCAAACGTGCAAGAGTTATCTACCTCAGACGAAAAATGAAGGGTTATGCAAAATCATGGGGTGATTGAAGTCAAACATTATAATATTGGATACCGACTGAGTGATCTATTGCGCGATACTGAAATTGCTGTGTTCGATTACGGAGTGTGAAATTGTGGATGAACACTTTTGAGGAGTCCCATACTAGGATCAGACGCCCATCCAATGCTTCCAGGTTTTAAATACTCGTCTAGCTTTGATCAAATCGTGACTTCAACCTTGAAAATACTACAGTCTCCACAAACCCCCCATACCAATTAATTAAATATTCATTGTTGTATGACCTTACTTGATTAAGAAGTTAAAAGAACTTCAACCACTCTCTTATTAAGTTCTGTAACCTAGATTTTCAAGCACTTCGATAAAACAGACTATTTTTTAATGAACATTTTAAAAAAACTGGGCTTACATGATTATGTGAGTTATCTCAGCCGGTAAAAGAGAATCTATTGATTATGTCCTTGGCGTCTAACTCATTGATTAATTCATATGTGTAACCTGCTGCTAGATTTGAAGCTATTACGAGTTCACTTAGTATACGAACGGAACAAAGACTTGTAACCGTAGACCAATAAGCTAGATATTTGATGCGTGCCAGCCCCGTTAACTAGAGGAAGTCCAAGCTTGGAACAGGAAAGTATATTCCGCAAACCAGAAGCACGAGCGAATAATAACAGACACAAATTAAACGTATATATACAGCATAAAACTGTCCTTGGGAAATGTAGTAAAAATAGCATACTAAAAATACACAACGGACCAATAGCGGTAAAGATTCTCCCAAGTAGGAAATACGACATGAAGATGAAAAGTGCGCTGTTGGCGCGAAAACAATGAAATTTAAATTTCCAAAATAAAATTATGAAATTAAGGCATTTACAATGTGAGTTCTGGGGATCTAACATCCCCAACACCTTCTAAGAGGTGAAGTAAACGAGGATTACAAAATTTAAATTAATACAGGAGCGAAAAATAAATGAGTACTAACAGATATATAACCGAGATGTTCATTTTTCAGATCGTCTCAGGAAACAAATGTAATCGTTACCCAATTACTTAATGCAGTCTTTTACAAACTAAAATGTTTGCCAAATGACATGTAAGTTTACATCTTTAATGTCTCCAGAGTTGTAACTTACCAGATTCAATAGAAGATCTAACAGCCAAAGAAGATGAATTTAAGTTTTCTTAGTATTTTGTTGAGTAAATTAGCCGTACTTATGGTTCAAGTCTAACTGTAGTATATTAAAAGCAAAATAGGATTTACTATATTGTATCAAATTGAATGTTTACTCTGAAATAAAACATATATTCTAGATGCCAATCTTGCTAATTGGTAACTTAAACTAATTCCAATTCATTATCAAAACATGAAAGTAGATTAACCCCAGTTGCTTACTGACTTTTTAAATTTCAGATGTGTATCTCCCAGTGGTGAAAGAAAAACGTCAACCATCTTCATCGAACTGGGTTGTCAACCAGGACAAAGACGATGTCCCAGTGGGCAGTGTATATTTGTTGGTCAATTCTGTGATGGGAAACCTGATTGCGATGATGGATTTGATGAGAAACCTGAAAACTGTGGTATATTTTTCATATTCTGCATATTATATATCCTGATTACTTATTCCCGAATTTCTGCTGTCAGTAGATACTTACTTACTTTTTTACTTAGGCCTGTTATTACCTATGGAGCTTAGGCCGCCTACCAGGATCTTCTAACCAACCTTGTCGTCAGACAATCATTAAAAAAGCTCCCATAAGTCATAATTTGAGTCACATTATGACAACTGTCAAATCTGTATTTCAGTGTGTTTAGAAATTTTTTAAATAAACAAAAGTTTAGAAAATATACGGATTTGCGAAAATATATCAGCATTTATTAAGTAGGGTAGAGGGAAAATAACATAGAATGGTCTAATCAGCAGAAACCATCTCCGGTTATAACCAGATCAAGGGTGACACTATATAACCCTCGACAGTACTTACATATTATTAGGTTGTAATATTAACAGAAAGTAAACAAATGCTTTCTCACCGATGACTTTTCAAAGACAAGGAACCTTTTGAATAAACAATGTCAACAGACAAAATATGAACTGCATTCAGATGTCGTTCTCCGCCAAGACAGGTTTGCGTTATGCTCTGATGTCCAATCGTTATTTGTCTGACGATCATTTGTCACAAATTCTAAATCTGTTCAAATTGGCGTCCTGCCGAAAGGAATAGCATCATCTTATTATACACAACTCTGGAGTTAACGTTGAACATAAATGTTATTCACTGGGTGTATGATGAAACTTAACTTATTTTTATTATTTTGAATAGAATAGAGCTAACAGTTTTCTAATTCCTATTATTACAGAGTATTGTGATCCAATAACAAAACCATGCGAAGTTGTGAATGGTAAACCACCTAAAGAAAAAACCTATGAACTACATTGGAGGTGTGATGGCGAAGATGATTGTGGAAATCGGTTTGATGAACAAAATTGTCTAAATGGTAAGTATTTGTTTGAATAATGAAACTCAGAATATGCATGTACAGAATGAGATAACATTTGTTGAATGACTTTGGTTCATTTTAAAAATAACATGTTAGTAAAAGTTCAATTATTATTATCGAAATACCATTAATTTTCACTATGTAAATGTTTTCAGTTGGAATTTCTTAGGAAATGATGATACGAATTTTTATGTGGACGTTAGTGATAAGATGTTAAAACATAAATATCAAACTGTTAAAATATGTTATCGAATTGACGATAATTAATTTGTAACGAATCAAATATCATAATTTTTTCTGGTTAGCGTTTTTTTCAGCAAGTTATTTTTCTACGGGATGGGGTCGCTAACCCCATACCCAACCCTCCTCCTTTATCCGGGCTTGGGACCAGTAGTAGCTCCAGGAGGACTTCAGGTGAAGTTCAAATATCAGATGATTGTTATCATTTCTCGTACATATTCACTAACGATATTACTTATTAGTGATCTAATTGCAGTTTTACTTAAACAGCAATTTAATTTACAACTTATATTTACTTTCAGACACTCGTGTACCAGATAAAGAGTGTGGTGCTACTCATTTCAGATGTGGTACTGAACCATATCAGTATATACCGTTTGCATACTGGTGTGATGGAGGTCGTGATTGTCGAGGTGGTGAAGATGAAAATGATTGTTGTAAGGAAATAACTTCAACTTTTCGGTATTTTATTTGTCATTTTACTTATCATCAGACGAAAAGTTTTGTATATAGATGTTATATTTAGAAAAGAACTAACATAGACTAAGGTGTAATTTCAGTGGTTGAGATCATAAAATCAATTAAATCTAGGTCACCATTGAAAACCTGGAAGCACTGGATGACCGTTTCGTCCTAATATGGGACTCCTCAGCAGTGCGCATCCACGATCTCGCCTCGCAATATTCCAACCAAGGACCTATCAGTTTCGCGCGTGAGCACTTAACCTCTAGACCACTGAGCCGACATCCAACGGTGTTAACGTCCAACTTCAACCAATTCACGAAGTTGCGCTACCGTCTACCATTGTCGCCAGTGAGTTACTATCTCACAACAGGTTTTCCATGGTGGTCTAGCTTCAATTAACTCATGATTTCAACTAATAAGTTGCTATAATATCCACAAAACCTCTCTCTACTTATATATTTCTCAAGGTATTTACAAGTAAAACTAAAGTTTGATTAAACATAAAATGATAGTTCCAAATAAAACAGAACCAAAAAATCAATATGAATTGGAGAGAACAATAAATTATCACATCAGCTTAGGTTGTAAAATGGTTTACAAATGACACATTTTCAACTAATTAAAATAGCTTTCGAATACTGGCTTTAAAAAAACAGTAATAGTTAGTATATCTGTGATGTGTGCTACTTATATTGATATAAGTAGTATATGACGCGAGTTAAAGAACGTAATGTCTGGCAGCAGAAGATGGTAAAAGATCAACAAAGGAAGAGCGGGAACGCAATGCAATTTGTAAAAAAGCGCATGAACAATGAAATGTGAGATAATGGACTGATGATTGCAACAGGAACAGTCCAGTTTGATATGATGGATTGATATTTCGCAAACTAACGATTTACTATTTGGTTTTTCTATTTTACAAAGTAACTCTGTAATTTTGTACTATATACAGTTCGATTGTACCCACCCGTGTTCTGTTCACTACATATCTTCTAAAATCTCTCGAAAGATTATAAGTAATGCACTGCAAACTGCACTTTACCTATAACGAACAGATAATCGATTAAAGTGTGGAAACACTTAGCTATTTATGAATGAAGTATTTTATACATAAAAGTGTTGAATACAATTCTGCGAGACTTTTATCGCTTATATACGCAATAACTACATTTTTTTTGTAATTCAAATATCCTAAGTGAGTATTACATTTGTAACACTAGTGATAAAAACCGTTTATTGGTTAATCTTCATTAACTTAATAACAGAAAGTCCTACCTAATTACAAGTATGTTTCAACACTTTAAATAACTTTATTTCACTTATCCACGACTATTTCAACAATTGGAGTTAAGATATAAAATAGCAGTATTCCTGTAAGAACACTGAAGAAATTCATCTTCGTTACATGAAAACACATCAAAATGTGTTCAATTCTGTTTTATTCTTTATAAAACCTACGATATGCTATCAATAAATTGTTAACTGTGATTGATAGTGGTAACTATTGACTTGGATTGTGTGTTCAAATGATTGTAAGTGCAATAATACAACTACCGAAGGAGATTTTTGTGCATTTATAAAAGGTTTCAAAGTAAATATCACTTATTGTAGTGTTCATCATCAGCATAGTGCACGTCAATGTTTTAGCTGATATGCTTTTTGTTTCAAATCATTTTAATCATACTCAAAATAGTTTTTGAAATTGATTGCTAGTGTTTCAATCACTTTTCAGCCCCACCTACCATAATTCAAACTCAACGTCAAGAAACTCATAGAGTTCGTCCTGGTGGTAGACTGATTTTAGAATGTGAAGCATCCGGTGTTCCACCACCTATGATTATTTGGCGTTTCAATTGGAGATGCCTTCGTGATGAAACACGAATGAGAACCCAAGCTGTGCCAAGTTCGCTTGGATGTAAGGGTTCAAAGAGTCGTTTAACAATCGAAAACTTCAGGGAAGGTGACGATGGGATTTATAATTGTGAAGCACTGACATCGAAAGAAAGAGCTATGTCCCAGGATATATTTGTTTTTCTATCTCCTTAGTTATGTTTTCATTTTCACGTGATATTATGGAATATCAAGTTGAATGAATAGTTATATTATCATTTTATCATATATTTTTAAAATTAATTTAATTCTTTGTGTCAAAATAGCAATGTTCTGAATTTCAAAATAGTACATCTTTCAATCATCTTACAAACAATGTATTAATTTTGCCGTTTGAAATTCTAATTCCCAAGTTATACATTATTCTGTTACATGAAATTTAAAATATAATGCTTATTTGAAGAGATACTAACTTTTAGTACACCATTTACATAGTTTTAATCTCAGAGATCGAAGTTTACTTATTTACTTACTTATGCTTGTTATCCCTCAAGTGGGAGCATAAGCCATATAGTTGTTTCACATTTCCATCTCTTACAGATTTGTCTGCTGTCGTTGCTAGGTCTTCCACGAATTTCCGTTTGTCAGCTCTAATGCTCCTGTAAGGCTTGGAACCTGTTGTCGAGAGTTATCTTGAATTCGTTGATTTTCTCAGTATGTCGAAGGAAGGCTGTATTAAACCTTTGTAATGCTTCTTCTCCCGTTGTCCATTAATTTCGTAGCTTCAGTTTCGTCTTGACAACCACCAGCTGGTGCTGATTTGAAGCTATGTCAAGTCCTCTCCTGTTTCTCAGTTTTTCCATTGACCTAGATTTTTTAGTGATACAGGTATGATCGATCTGATTCTCTGTAGTTTGATCCGATGAGACCCATATAGCTCTGTGTATGTGTCTGTGAGGAAATTTAAAGCCATCTATAACTAGTTTGTCAAATGCACCTAGATTTCTTAACCTGTCACCATTCTCATTCGTTTTTCCCAGTCAATCCATATCGTTCAGTGAAATCTCCATAGCCGGTGTCCTCCATTCTGACTTTGGCGTTTAGATCTCCTATTAGGATTGTCAGGTCCTTTTTGAGCACTTTGCTATGATCGATTGCAGCCTCTCATAGAACTGATCTCTATCGTCGTCGTTGCTATCATAAGTGGGTACACAACACTGGATAATACTCATTTTGATTCCCTTCTTTGTTTTGAAGGATGCTTTGATGATTCTAGATCCGTGAGAGTCTCATCTTATAGTTGTTTTACATGGTTCTTTGTACAACATCAGAGAAACTGCCTGAGTGTGTAGAGAATATTCCTCTCTGTGACTGGAGTACAATAGCATTTCTCCCGTACCTAACTTTTGATGTCCAGCTTTGGTCCAATGTGTTTCACTCTTTTCGAACACCATCAAGTTGCATCTCCTCATTTCCATAGCTATTTGGCTGGTGCTCCCGGTCTCCCACATTGTCCGGACATGCCATGTACCTATATTAGTTGTTGCTCTGGTTGTTAAGTGCAAGGGTTGTGTTTCTACGGGTTGGAGTTGATGACACCACACCTATCCCTCTCTACCCGGTCTTGGAACCGGCAGTAACCCTAGAAATGCTACAGGCAGAATTCAGGGATTAAAAGAATCTTTGAAATATTTCAAAAGATCTAATGCATATAATGTTGAATATGACCAAAACAACAATTGAGACGGAATAATATGAATCTATTATATTTCGTTGTTTCCGCTCAACTGCTTAAGACCATGTCTGTATTAATATGCAGCACTGATATACGATACAATGTAAAGCAATTGACAATCATGATAGAAAGGACCAGAATGACAAATATCAGTAATTACTATAGGTTTGTATATTTAATGTGTGGTAGCGGAAGCAAAATATGACTAGTATGATATAATGTGGTCCAGTCTATGTACAGCCTTTAGAATGGGCATTCAGTCTAGTTGTACTATGAACTCGATCTCCAGCCCTATTATCGTATCATAGTAGTGTTGAGGAGAACCAGAAAAGTCCTTTAAAAAAGCCGAAAAAGGCTCTGAGAACGTTGAGAAGCATCTTATCCAATCAGCAATCAATAGACGTTTTGCCATAGACATATAGAAAGTGAAAAGTCACATGTCGTGTTTCTGATTGAATGATTACCCATACTGCTACTATGTTTAGGAACGTTCCAGAGATTTCCGAAAGCTCTAAGTCATCTAAAGTACTATAAATACCTTAGATTTTCTGTACATAAAGCGCTTCTTCCGTATTTCGCGCCTTTTCTCTTGTGTTCAAGTCACTGTGAAGATTTAGCCTGGGGGTTAACAGAAGTGCTTAGGAACTGAATCCAGAGTTACATTCGAAGACTCATCAAGTAGTATCCTGCGAGAAAAATCTGATCTGGTTATCAATTTTTGCTCCCATTCTGGGAGTGATGCCATAATCTTTTGCCGCAAACTATCAACAACATAATCAGTACAAACTTCAAGTATAGATGACAGAATAAGCTTTGAGTCATATGTGGAGAAATTTAAACACTTCACTTGTACCTGAAGTTTGTGTTAATGTTCTTCAGAAGAACAATGAAAGCCGTACGACCAAACCATCTAGCTCAGAGAACAAAACATCACCTAAATTATTCACCTGAGTTATAAATATCAACAATCTCAAAGTATCATTTTATTTCGTGAATTTTGCTGACGTTTAAATTACATTATTTATTGATTTTCAGCACTGTAGAAAAAATAGGAAGAGAAAAATATCCTTTTATTTCTTTCCATAAAATTAAGCATGAAAACAAGAAGAAGGAACAGCAATTATGTCTGAAATAATTTTTATGCAACTTGTTGAATTATTTTATCACTGAAGGCACGTTCCATCAATTTGATGTTCACAGTGATTTTTGGATGTTGTATCATAAATTCAGCTGCAACTTTGGCTTTGATTAAATATTGTATAGACTTGTAAGTAAAGAAATAAAATACGCAAGACCAATAATGAATACAATAGTAATGCGAGAAATTATGTGACAATACTTTTTTGGTAATTTCACTTATATAGCTTTGTTTCGTTAAAAATTCAAATGCATATTTAGTAGGATTTTGAAGATATCCATTGATCATCCCAAGTTTGGATACTTTATAAGTAGTTTGGCAATGTACAGAAATCATGAGCCGATCAATATTTAGACCACCATTGAAGACCTGGAAGCACTATACGGCCGTTTGGGATTCCTAAGCAGTGCGCATTCACGACCACGCAAGGTAGATTTGAACACGGAAACTTCGGTCTCGCGCGAACGTGAAATTCAACAACCTCCGCAACCCCATACTGAAAATAACTATGCGCTCACTGGTGACTAGCTTTGAGAGATAATTCTCGGAGTTCTAGTGAGAAGCTGTGATCAGCGAAGTTTAACCGTGTCGGGTATGGGACAGCCATTCACTGAAAACAATGGAAGGTGGTTGCGGGGTCGTGAGTGCGCACTGCTGAGGAGTTCCATACTAGAACCAAGCGGTAGTCTAGTGCTTTTAGGTCTTGGATGGTCTAAAATTGATTGGTTCATGATTTCAATAAAATTGAAAATTTCTCTATACTGAAATTTTGACATTGTTCTACTTTGTTGTTAATGTGTAGACAAGCTAACTTACATAAGTCACTTCTAGGATTTAATTAACGTGTTTCAATATATCTTCATTCAAACGAAATAAAGGGTTCCAGTAACATTATTTCTGCATACGTCAGATATGAGTAGGCTACACTAACTGGTGGGGAAGTACGTTAATAAGAACCTTTATAGAATACGTTAAAATTTTATTCTTTTTTCGAAACTGATGAATGCTTACTTCTTGCTTTCTTTCTAAAATATAGTTTAGCATTGACAAAGTCAAATACAATTGAACTTTTGGATCTGGCTTGGCTGGATTACAAGTACTTGCATTAAGCTCATTTTCATTGATACGCTGATTATGATATTTTTCAATTGCATACAGCATTTTTTCAGCTTCAGCTTTTTGTGCATCATCTGTTAATTATAATCAGTATATTTTGTTTATTCAAAGATACAATAATAAGATGTCTTATTAGTTGGGTACACACAAAAAAATCAATTCTAGTCTTAAATACTTACTCTACTCAAATCACATAGCTCTTCTAGAAGTAGCTTTCAAAACTATTTAAAAGATATGACAGTTCAACTACAAAAGAATACGAGTACTAAAATCATCATCTTAAGTTTGATGCTTGCAGTCCCTTATTTTACCTTGATCTAAGAAAATGGCATACAATCAAAATAACTTTCTAATTTCATAAGTTATTGCTTCATTTTTTTTCCTTATTCACTTTTGTCTGATATTTATGAAGTAGACAGTTATCATTCATGAATGATCTGTTTATAATTTACTGTTTTGGATTATCATTTAAACTATCAAGCAACTTGTCTAATCAATGTAAAACACTTTCAGTTACCTTTTTACTAATCCAATATCGTTCTATTTTAATAAACTTATTTATGATATGAAACTATAAATACAATTATACCGTTTCAGCAAATGATTTTTTCGCAGTACAGTATATCCATCATTTCATGTTTAAAGGTAATTTATAACAAGGTTGTACGAAAAAATACTTGCTATATTTTACTTATTAGTGAAGGATATTGGAAACCTTGAAGAATTTGATGTTTCCTAAGATATTCTAGTTACATATGACCAAGTAGTTGAAAACAACATTACGGGACTAAATAGATCACGGCTAACTACATTAAAGGACTGAAATAGGTAAATTAATCATACAGTGAGTAGTAAATAACACCATATTTAGTAGTTAACGTTGTAATTAGTTTTGTTGTGAAAACAGTCGCAAAGATATCATGTTAACAATAAATGAGGCGAGAAAAATGGATGCTACAATATTACAAGACAAGGTTGACAATGACATTCCTTCATTATATCAATAAGTAAAACTGATAATTTACGGAGTTTCAAAAGAAAAGTGGGAAAGACAGAGGAGTAGCCACTATTAGGTGTTCTGTACTCTACTGCTAAGTACACAGGGAAAAAACAATAATAGACTAAACATTGAATGGTAGTTTTTAAAACAAACTAATTAACATTATGTCTACTATGTTTTATTTAAAACCTTTTACCGAGTTGACAGTCATTAAGGTGATATAATACAAACTATCAAGCAAACGTAGAATATAAGACAAGACATCTACCATGATTAGTAAATTCGAAGTAACTCATGGGAATGTCAACTCATTTTTAGGTAGAAAACTGAGAAGCACTATTGGTTATAAGTTGTGAAAACATACACTGTTAATTCGTGTGAATGAGTCTCTAGAACATGTAGACTACATAATATTGTTATTTCACCCCTTAAAGTTTTGTACGATAGTAAGTTTGTCTTGATAAAAAGTCCATTATATCCTTGATTTTACTAATTTGTTCTATATGACAGAATCTATGATATGACAAATTTGTTTATTTAATCGTAACAAAGTGGATTTGACTACTAAGACAGCCAATTATGATTAACAGGTTCTCAAAGCCCAATACAGACCAAAGGGTTTAGGCAAAATACATAGAGAACAGTAAGACAATAACATACTTACAAAAATTGCACACATCTTTTCCAGAGGAATGTGATTTGATGAAAATAATGGGAAAAAATGCAGAAACCTGTTGCCAGTGGAAGGTAATAAACTTCCATAATAATTGTGAACAGATCATCAGTTCGAAATGGCAACAACAGCAACAGTTTGAGCTCTTGATGCTTTATGACATCAGCTTAACTATAATAATACACTTCTAAGTCATTTTCGAGTAATTTCCTAGGTTCACTACAATGGAGTTCATTTAAAACTCAAAACCTACATATAAAATACTCCAGACGTAGAAAATAGCAAGTCCTCGAATTTTGTAGAAACTTTCTGCACAGTAGGCCTTACAATCTGAAACACTGAACAAAAGTTAGTTTTGATATTAGAACTAAGTACGTGTGGTATTTGTACTAACTAATTATTCCTCTGTACTAGATTGTGTGCTTCTTACGAATTCTAAATACGTCCAGTTGTGCTCATCTAGTTCTACCTGCCTTAAATTGCACTATTTCGGGAATTTCTATTTGGCAAATCAGCTTGGAATCCTGAAGGAAAACGGAAGAGAGGAAGATCAAATAACACATTGAATCGGGAACTGGAAGCGGACATCAAAAGGATGAACAGCAACTAAAAACAATCAGAATGGTTTGTAGCGGTAAATAGATCACCTGCACATTTATCTAAGACAGAGGTCGATGGAGAATGCTGGTGGTTGGCCTATGCTCCCCCATGAAGAGTAACAGGAGTAAGTAAGTAGTTAGCAAATCAACCTGAATACTTCTAATGATCATAGTAACGTATTGTTTAACATGTCATTACCTAGGGTTTGTTTAGCTTTTTGAGTAGTCTCCACCATAATAGCACCAACGTCTTCAGAGAACACAGGTTTGAATAACAAGCTTTCTACTAATTCCCTTAAGTGTCTGGCCCATATATTAACTACGCGTGTATACAAATTTTCAACTACTTGAGCTTTTGATGAAGGCGGTTGAATGCAAAACTCTGAGTTTGTTGAAAGACTGTTGTTTGATTTCGTTTTTCTTTGATAAATCAATGGACCGTGAGACTTATTTTGTTTATTTATTTCTGCAATCTCCAGCGTAACCGAAGGATATACAAATTCAGTTGACTTTTCTGGAAAGTTTTGATCAAGGGAACCTATGTTGCCATTGGCTTTGTACATCGCATAAAACACTTCAGCCATATGAAAATAACCACCAGCTGTGCAAATATGATCGGTGCCATATTCGAGGGATGCATAAAATATCTACAAATAAGATATAATAATGTTAAACGCAATATTGAAGAATGACTAGATACCAAATAAAGTTATAGGACATAAAACACAAGGAACACACCGAGTAAATCAGTAAAGTATGATTCTAAATAGTGGTTATCATGAAATGAAAACAATTTGTTACTGTTTGTAGTTGGCAAATTTTGGCGGAGTCAATGACTAGCGTTCATTGTACCATAAGTTTTCTTCTACCTGGGTCCAGAATTGATAATCAACTTGATTATCAACTCATCTCATTATTTTGACTTTGACTTCCCATAACTCGTCGTCTTAGTTTAAAATGTATTTAGAGGCATACCTTCATATATATTTGACAGTACTGAAATATTCATCAATTTTAAGAGAGAATAAAGAGCTTAGTAGACTCACATCTTTCGCCAAACTCGCCAATGCTAGTTCATAATTACCTTTAGCAGCATATAACAAACCAAGTTTACGATGTAACTGTGATTGTATACTATCTGTGCATCCATGTTGTGCTTTAAGTACTATCCACTGAGCTTGTGCAAGGTAAGTCTCAGCTTGATTGAGTTTCCCAAGACCTAGATGGTAAAAATAGTAATCAAGCTAATACGCACATTATTTATTAGTTCTCAAGATCTCTCGATCATCACGTTTTGTAGTCATTATTTCTTTGAACTTACTCAAAAGACTGATCTAAAACACAACAAGTACTAGAACGTGTATAGCCATTAGAAATAGACAGTTGATAAACAATCAAAACGAAAAACTAGGAACAAAAGCACCTATACTATTTATGTTGAAGTGACGAAGGGAAATTTTGTAATGACTAATGTGGCTGTGTTTAGGGGAAACATTTCCCTTAGAAGTGAAACTAAAGGTTTCTACAGATATTGTTTGCATTTACCAGTTCTGTAAGATATTTATACAGAAATTATATGTAATCGTATTCTTAGAGAATGACCTTCTACTTAAAGGTCTTCAAAACATTTGGAGTACAGATGAAAGGTCAGAGGCTCTGTGGATATAAAAATCTTTATCAGATCTAAAGATCTGATTTAAAGATCTGTATTAGTGATTCTTAACTTACCAAATGTAGGTTGCTGCTTCAGAACCAGTCACCAAAACTGTTTGATTATAGAAAGTGGAATGGTTGAGTAAGGTTGTCATCCTACCTGTGTGCGGAGAACCATCAATCCTGATTAGCAACAAAATTCTGGGAGTGATAAGTCTTTTCTAGCAGTAACCAAATCTCATCACCTGTAGCCTCGCTTTGAATCCTGAAAGCTCGTCAAAGAGCAAACACAATGCTAAGTAGTAGTACGAGGTAGCATCTAAGGCTGCCAGCAATTTCTTGACCCTTTCATGAAAATATAGGACGAATTTTAAAGAAGATCCAGATGTGTAACCATCTGACTGTGTTTATAGGCAAACACCAAAATGCTAGAGATTTAATAAAAAGTGTACATTGAAAACACATTCAAGAATTTAGAGCATAATAATCTTTCATATCTTTTTGGGAAGTATTTTACCAATGGCTTAACTACTTACCAATACATGATTCTGCAAGAACTAGATAGGGTGATACTAATTCAACACAAGCTATTCCATATGCACGCACTGCAAACCTCAAACACTGTAAAGCAGCAGGTAGGGCTTTCTCTGATTTTCCTTTAAACAAAAGTTTTTGACTCTCCAGCTGAGTGAGCCGGACCAGATCAAGCTGAATAAATTAAATAACACAAAAACCTTGAACCAATAAACTATGTTTTGAATCTCATTCTAAATTTAAGACGACATAATTCAATATATTTGAGATACAATAGTACAATTAAATAACTACTCACACGATTCACCAATGTATGACTTAAGGAAACTCCTAATTCCGACTACTTATACAAACGCTTCAAACGATTTTTGAAGTAAACTACTTGAAAATAACTTTCAGTGGCTTACGACTATGAAGAAGTGTCATTCAAAGTGAAGTTTCAACGAGCCAATGGAAAGATAATTGCGGAAGTAAAGCGGAATCAAGGTTCTCTTTTGAGAACTCAGCTAGGTATTGGTTGAACTTCACAAGTTATAGACTATCCACTTACAATATATGTTTAGTAATTTGTGTTGGACTCAACTTTTCTCAATGACTGGGACGTCCCACCAAAACATGTGACTTAAACCCAATTAGTGAACAATTGTAAGAGGAAATTGGATTTTCCATGGAAAACATAACACGAGGATTAACACAGGTTAACCGACCTACTATCTTTATTATTGAAGGCTAAATGTGCAACAGAACTAATGAACTCACTATGCACCCAGTGAGTTCTGAATAGACAACTGCTATGGAATATGTACCTCATAATAATTGTCTATTTAGAGTCACCATCATAAAAAATGATTCTAGGCTCAAATATCATGACAACATTATCTCAATAGGCAAGCGACCAACTGCGCACTATCTGAGTATATTGAAATATAATACTAATTATTAGAAAACAAAGTACATTTTGTAATCAAATCTACTACCAAAATGTTTTACATTGGTACTCATATCGCTTATCCCCATGTACCACAAGTATGATAGATGCTTCTCACCAAAAATAATTGTACATGTGCAATGTAGATGCACTTACATTTTTGTTTTGAAGTTCTTCGCTTTCCTTCTCACGCTTGTCCTTTGATACAAATCCCTTAGATTCTCGAAACGTTATTAAATCCAGACATATCTTTTTATGAATTCCCACCCAATCAATTTTCTGATGCTCTATTCCACTAGAAATATAATGCATTCATATGTTAATGGTCAAACCAATAATACGTGATCCGGCATACCCCACATTGTAAGCATGCTGGTTTAGAGCATACTTCACAGCCATGCTCTTCGCCTTTTGGGTTTGCAAGAGGATAAAGTGAAAGAGCTGCTGGGGGATTTTTCATAATTGCGAGTAACGTTCAGCCTTTGATAGGTCTGCGTCTAGCCTAAAGGTATCTTGTAGGCTGGAGAAGTGGGGGGGAACAGTATGTAAGAGAATTTGAAAGAGAAGGGAACAAAAGAACAAGTGAGCTGATAAATCAGTAAGCGCAATACATTTCGAACAATCTGATCACATGCAAACTTGTTAAGACATTTTTATATGAAAATTAAAATGTCAACTAGAGGGGTTAAAGGTAAGCCGTAATGAAGAAAAGAAATATTAAATTACACAAAAAATTTGATTACCACTCTGGATAATAAATCAGTATTACCAGGGTAGGTTAAGTATAAGGACAAATTGTTATAAACGCATAAAGCGGGTTTCAATTTCCTTATAGCCAAGGCTTCAATAAACCTTAGTATACGTCCTTGAAGGTTTTTGTATAACATTACAAATGATGACTCGATGTCAACCTTATGATCAGTCTCAATCAGTCAAGTAACATATATTACTTCTGGGTGGCCTATGCTCTATTGGGAGTAACAGGCGTGAGCAAGTACTTAAGTACTGTTACTTCTGAGGCGACTATAAGCGCAAGATTAATACAAGTCGCTACTAGAATCAAGGAGTTGAAAGTTTTAGGTTTTTGATGGTTTACGACGTAACGCATATAGCGGATTGTTTTTAGCCAGGGTTTACTTTGTGTACTAGGCGGAGCATGGTGAATACAGTAAAGAAAGATGGAGGAAAGAACAAAAGATAAGGTGGGTCGACGATCCAGAAAGAATACAAAATGCATTCACGTTTAATAAGAAAAGTAATAGGAAACAATCAGCAACGATACAGGCTACAAGTTAAGACAATTCTGAAATCAAAACTGTGAGTAGGTTATTTGACCCGCTAGAATGAGTCAATTTTAAAAACCTGCCGCGAGATGCCATAGCTACGACCTGGATACCTGCCCAATTTCTAATTTTTGCCTATTTCACCTCATTAATTATGTTTTTAATCCTATGACATGTTCAGGAGCGTACTTACAAAGTTTGCGACATGTATTGGTTAATAAATCTCCAAAACTAAAAGTTTTGTAATTCTCCAACAGTGTCGCTGATCCTATCTGTTTTACTGGACACACAACAAATGAAGGCGCGTGGCCACCCATCCTCACCAGACTATGAATGGATACATTGTTCTACACACCCGTTGCAACTACCAGCCAGCTTAAACCAAACGATTCTCGACATATCTATAACCGGCTATATCCATTTTCGAACTCCATATCTGACTTCTTATTTCACTGCATTGTCATACTTCAATTAAAGCGGCCTTACGTTTAAATGAGTTATCGAACTGCGGATACCTGCGGCATCTTTATTGATGAGCCTGGTGTGACTTGGTACACAAAACGATTAGTTGTGATTGTATTCCTTGTCGTGACATTATGTCCATTTTTAGAGTTTTACATATTGTGATATTACTTTCGTATTCTCGTACTCTTGTTTTTCTCGACTACTTGCATATATTCACAGTGGCGGGAAGGACACAAAAACTATTGACGTTTGAGTCTTATGCTCCCCCTCCCACCTTTCAATTTATATCACTCTGGTCTGATAATCTCGAACCTTGATTCTGCTTCGCAGGTAGTCCACGAGCACGTCGGGGTAGATGCGCGTGCGTGATCCCCCGCTGCAGTGAAGGCATTTCCGCTCAAGTTTAACCACTATGTTATACCCAGTGATGTTTCCTAACCTTATGGAACCTTAAAAAGCGCCATCTATAAATAGACAGACCTAACCGACCGTTAAAGTTCAGATAAGCTCTTCCACAACATAGAATTGAAACACAGTTCAGAAACATAAATATTGCTGTGTGTGCGCAAGGTTGTTGGTCAGTGAATCTTCAAAGAGTGTTTCTTTAGACTAGTCTTCCTATCTAGGTTTCCACAACGGATGCAGGCGGTTCTCATCTCACTTCAAAGTAATGCCGTAAACAAATTGAGGCATCTGCCAATCGGATTCTGAGGTTCACCGTAACTTCTAACACCGATGTTTTCACCGTTAAGAAAAGGCCTCCAATGGCACGAGAATTCGTTATGAATCACTATAATGGTCTTACTCGTTATCTTCATATTCACCATAACTGAAGACTCTCCGAACTCCCCAAAGGGACTTGACACGGAAAAGATGTGTTATAGACCATGAGAAACAAATAATACTGATTGGTTATGGTACCATGACAGGTATGATTAATTTTTATAGAAATCGAAAGAAACACTACGGTATGTCCAACTCCAAACCTTTCATAACGACAAACCTTTCAGGGAACTTCCCTGTAGGCACGTATTAGTGGCAGTACTAGCCAGTGAAAACAGCCATCTGTTATTCATCACTAATGTGCTGATAGAAGTTCATTGTTTCACCAACACTGACGCAGAAGTAAGCGTTCCTCTCATGAATGCCAATGGCCGACTACAAGATCCGGTCTTCAACTTGTAAATGGCATCCGAAAAACCGATTGCTTCATGTGGTAAGGGATATGTTTATCGTAAAGTTGATTTATGTGAACCTATTCATTAAAGTTATGTTGTGACAGACATTTCTGTGGCAATCATTTGTATACACCTGCCACAACTCTATGATCTGCGCATGGACCCAAATAAATGTACGCTAGTGTATGTTTGTGGAACTGAATTTCGTAGTTGTAGGTCATGCCCGATTGCGGTTAGACGTATAATACACACTTACTTTCAACGGACACTCGACAAAAGCCACGAACTTTACAAAACTCGACAAAAACTATTGTGCGTAAACAGCAATCACACACACACACACAGCAATCACATACAAGCGACGCCTCAAAGCAATCACACACACCACATCCTGATTATAGTACCAACTGGATTTGTCAAAACGTCAACTGGCAACCGAGAACCTTTGGCTGGCTAAAGTTGAATTCGAGCACATGATAGACTCGGAAATTATTCAGTCATCAAACAGCCTATGAGCATCTTCTGTGCACATAGTCCCTAAAGACGACTTCAGTAATTAGCGTCTAACCGGTAGTTTTCGGCAACTTAATATGAAGATCACCCCTGATTGTTACTCTTTGCCGCACACCCACAATCTGACAGCTGCCTTGAAAGCTTGGGGCAAGTAGGATGATTAGTTAAGAGTTGATCTCAAACATCTAAATATATGTCGAAACAGTAGAGCTCAAGTACCCATTCACGTCCTTATTTTGTATAGGAACTACGCTTTCTATTATCTTACATTTTGTGTTGAAAGGCCTTGTGTGTTTGGACAGATAACCTCGCTATCCACTGTGTGCCAACCACGAGCTAAAATAAAGACCTGTTCGCTACTAGTCTGGCTTCTTCTACAAAACAGAACGACGGTTCCCTACAGTCGCGAAAATGGTGAGCTTTGTGTTGAACACAAATTTAATTTCATCTGACTTTTAAGATTACTTTTTTTACTTAGTCATGAAAGTAGACCTTCGGATTATCCATCACTAAAATTCCGCACATATGTTTACACGTAGTTTTTATCGCAAGCTATTCATGTTGTAGTCATTATTTTGCCCAGTTCTTATTATATTATTTGTTTACTTCTTAAAAAGATGTGAAATTCTAGTCAACACCAAAAAACGACGTTTGACACTGAAAGGAACATTGAATTTCACAAGGGGTAAAGAAAATCACTTCAGATCTCTAAATTTGATATAAACTCCGACAACAATGACGGCGAAATTCCAGGATACATGCACAAGCTGTTTATCCCCAAACAATCAGCCGAGTAATAGGGGTAAAAACGACATATCAAAAGGGGTGAGTCACAAACAAACGAAGAACCTTCAACTTGGGTGAGTGATATGAGCAGGTTTTCCCTGCCGAATTACCATTTCCTTAAATTTCACCACTAATATTATACTATGTGAAAGTTGGGTAGAGACATCAGATAAATTCTTTACGACCACTTATTATAAACCCAAACAATGAATCTTTTCAATAACGACAAGTTCCGAAAGCATTCCAAACGATCTTAATATTTTTCTGAATAATTTATTGTGATTTTGTACTTCTTAACTTATATATATATCACCTAGACTAGCCGTTACCATTTAATACTACTAGTAATGATAATTTATTTTCAAATAACAGTTTGTTACATGAGTGTGGTGTTTGAATGGACTAATGATATCTTTGTAGTTGTTGAATGCTCGATTTCGAATTCCAAATACAATACATTCGCTTGTGCCTGTGTCTTACGTCTTAATTCAATTGCGTTATTTCTGGGATTCCTAGTTCATAATACAATTCAAATAATTCAAAACATTATATTGGCGTCGCGATAGAGCCTGCAATGGAAAAGTTAGATATTCATTCAACTCCTGAAGCTTTTGAGGATTACTTGGAAAGGTTCGAAATCTGGAGCATGACCAAAAAAGATGTTAGAGGTGATAAAATTGTGGCACATTTTCTGACATTCATTGGGAGAGAAGAGTATAGCTCATCTAAAACTTTGGCATATCCAGAAAAACCTATCTCACTCCCTTATGCAACTCTTAAAGAGCTATTATTAAGTCATGTAAAATGCACCAGATTTGAATGCCGTGAAAGGGCGAAGTTTCATAAGACGGTTCGTCAAAATGACCAAAAGGCTCGGGAATTCATCCTTGAATTACAGAAACAAGCTTCCAAGTGTAATTTCGGTGATCAACTCCATGTGCAACTGAGAGATCGATTAATTGCAGGAATTAACATACCGAGTTTGGAAAGAGAGCTGTTAAAAATGCCAAACTGTTCCTTTCAAGATGCTAGAACTGCGTGTATTAACTACGAAGCAGTCAATGAAATTGATATCCAGTCGATGAAGATTTCTAATACTTTGCTTAGTCGTCGTGATGAACTACAGTCTCAGGGTCAATCAAACTTGCGTTCATTTAACAGTGATTCCTATTCTCGTGTAAATATGAAAGATGTTTCAACGAGGAATTACAAAGCAAATCACAAAGGTGAGATGA